GTTGAGGAGTGGCCGAGTGAGCGTGACTTCACTGTCACAATATAAACCGGCTACAACGTTAATTATGTCACTCTCTTCCTTTCTCCGACATTATTGCTATGCAAGAAGTCAACCAATTTTTTGTTCTTCATGACTAAGCCTCCTCGCGGCGAAGAACGGAAACGGGGGTTTCCTCAGGAAGCCCGCCGGCTAATTAGTCAACGTACCTTTTCTAAATAACGGTAGTTTTCTCTTTTTCTTTCGGAAGTTAGCCTGAAATTCTAGAAACTCTAATCGGATTATCTAACTGCAGAAAAGTTGAGTTGTTATATATTGTTAGTATTTATGCAAAAATGAAAGAGGAATGATGGGACGGCGACAGTTGTTCGGCCCGGAAAAAAAGTGATTCATAATTTCGACCCATTTTTCATCAAGACCATCATGCGAAATTGGTTTTTCAAGAGGCGCTCGAGCAGAGGACAGCTCTCGGTGTTGGATTTATTAGAAAACAGGAGAGGAAGCGGGACTCAAGGATTCAAAGAATTCGAATCGTTTCTTGACAAAACCACAAAACGAGTCCGAGTATAAAATCACGGAGTCTGAATTTGTGAGCCGATAATTCGACGATGTAAATCTAATTTTTGGGCAGATGCGAGCTGATTGGAACACGATTTCTGATGCGAGTCTCCGACGCGTTCTGGCTCTTTTTTAATTCGATTAGAGAAGATATTTGGAATGAAAAATTGAATGGAGAAAATCGGAAAGGGGTGTAAACTGTGCGGAAGAGCGAGCGGAACGACGGAGCAGAAGGGCTGAGCTGGAGGGGAAGAAACACGGGGAAACAGCCGTCGGAACAGACAGGGAATGATAAGAAGACAGAAATGGCGGCAGAGAGAGACTGTTAAGCGCATCGACTCGTTGCATCACTTCTCTGTAATGAAGAGTTTCCAGGTGTTCTTCTCGTTGATCGGTTTGTAATCGGAAATGGAAATGAGTGCAGGAGCTTCCGGCAGTGCGTAGGCGGAAACTTCCACGAGTTCACACAAACAACCGAAGCGATTTATACCTGCACGTCTTGTTATTTGCTATTTGTGTGAATGTTTTGTGTAATTTTTTTCAAATAAACTGTTACCTCCGTAAATTTCTGGCATTGCGCAACGTCCGCAATCCCTAGTGAAAACAAGGACGCGGTCGCGACTCGCGAGCACGGAGAACGGTAGAGCGCGATTGCCAGACGTCTGCGGCAGCTCACAAAAATAGCTCATTGTGTACTATTCGAACAAGAAAGAAACCATTTGGAACTATTTCCTTTTCCGTTCCCAAATGTTATTATTTCAGACCAATTCGCATTCTCATTACGACCGTCCATTTCTCATTTCCGTTGCGTTTTTCTCTCTGTTTCCTTCTGAAAAGAGAAGAAAACGAATCCTGTGCGTGAGCGTAATTGTCTGCTCATCCATGAATATTTCAGCGATTTCTTGATTGGCAAATTGGCGAGTGGGGGTGTGGCACGTGGCACGAAGGAGCGCCTCAATTACACCTTCCGCGGATGATACGATGAGCCGAGAAGGCACTTTGACCGTCTCCGTCGCGTCCCAATCATATTTGTATTCTCAATTATTCATTTGGTTTCGTGTGCACACACCTGTGCGCGCCCCCACTTACTCACTTATTCATTTTCGGGCCCCGGTGCCGTTTTGATTTGTTTCCTTCTTCTTCCTCTCCTCACACATTTTTCCACACTCTTGACGACGACGAACACATGGGAAAATCCGGGCAGCTTTCGGCGACAAATCCGTCCGAAATCGGACAAAGTGTACGATTTTCTCTTTTTTATATTTCTACAAGAATCGTCGTTCTGACAAACAAGCATCGGACTAATACCCGTCGCATTCCTCGCCTACATTCCCCTCTTTGCCACAATATTTTTGAGAGTGTGACTATCCCGTAGAAAATTCGAAATCCGTAGAATCAAATCCCGTAGAAATGGTCGGGCCCTTTTCGCGGAATTTTCTACAGGATTGTCACACTCTCATATTTTTCAGTGCGACTACGGTAGCCCTCTCGGCTGAATTCGCGAGTACATAATTCATTTCGTGGCAGTTCGGACGCCGTTGCTCCGTCCGTTTCATGTTTCTATAGAGATGGGATCTCTTTGCAACGACACCTCCGTCCCTTCTCTTTCTGTTGGTTCCGAGTCAACAAGTCAATGTCTAATCCCATCTGTCTTATGATCCACAATCTGGCCTTCATCATCATAACTTCTTTTTGTTTAATCCAAGGGCAAGAATTATGCCTTCGCGTTGTTTTCTGAGCCCTTCTTGCATCATGTTTCAGAGTACGTTCAGCTGTTAAACCGATCAAGGAATACCAGATTTCCTAAGGGTTTCAACCCGTTTCCTGTCCACTCCTACGTGAATTATCGCTGAAACTCTTTCCTAGCACTTTTCGTAATGAACTTTCAGCAATAAACTTCCAATTCTCTAGAGAGCTTCTCACTTTTCGAGAAAATATTCGTTCAGTTATGCTGTCTGAAAAGGTAAATATTGTTGTGTCCAATTCATGAAATCGTTTTCCTTAAAAACGTGCGCCGCTCATCCATATTATCTCCGGAAGTGGTAACTCATCGCCTCTGATCTGTGATTCTCCCATTCCTTCTCTCCCAAACACTTTCTATGATTTTCTAATTTCCGCCGTCATATCATTCATTCTGCCACGTCTCCGCTCAAAACAGAAACAACAACCCATTCCTTTCAGATGGCTCGTCGTCAGAAGGACGTCGAGCGAGAGGCCTTGCAGCTCGAGTACCACTTTGACACCCACCGGCACAATTCGTACACTTACAGGTGCTCGCTCTCTCACCTTCCGGACCCGATCAATTCAACTCATTTCAGCATTTACGCGGGTCTGCTTTGCACAATCCCATTTATTATCCTTTTTGCTCTTTTCTTCTACTTTTTCTGGTTTGGAAGACGTTGAAATTCTTCTGGTCCGTCGCCGCCAAACACCGCTTCACGAGGTCCTTCCTTCCGTACAAAACGGGCATCGAGACGTCCACAAAATGTTTAGATTATCGCGTCGACGCCCTTCTCTTCGCCACTTGATTTGTTTATCTTTTATGTGTTCTTTGCCGCCACGCCGATCACCATAATACGAATACTAATAATAACAATAACTTTTCTGACACATTTTCTGGTCAACTCCTCATTGAATTGTTTGATTTATCGTCGAGCGATTCGAATAAATACTCGCCACTTCTCAATTTATCGAACATTCGAAGTAGGTCAATTCGCGAATGATCGCTTCCCAGACCGATTTTCTCCTAAAAAAAAGGAAGGAAACTTCTTTTTTCGACTGATGACGGTGTTTTGACAGACAAAGGACACACTGGTTACGGTAGACAAAACGTATTGTCTTTTTGTTTATCCTCATCACTTTTTTTCTTTTTTTGGCTAGAACTAGTCTTCAGATGTTTTTCTTTGGTGCAGAGAAAAATGAGAAAGCCGGAAACCTGACAATCTCTCGGATTACTGTAGTTGGAAAAGTCTGCAAAGTAGAGTGTGTCAGACACTTTTTTGTTGACTTGAAATATTTAAATATATCTTTTCACATTACTCTGAAGTTTATAACATTTACAAATTGTTTTCAGACTCTTCATCGTAGTTAAAATTTTTGCAAATTGCATTTTACAGAGCGATCTTCAACATGTTTCTCTCGCTGTTCTGAGTGTGACAACAGAAAAAGAAATCCCGAGAAGGCACTCTTGAGGATCTCTCGGCCTTTTTGGACTTCCCGCCGCCTCTCTCCAGCTGCGCGCTTGTTCTCCCCAAAACTTTCAATCAAAAAACGAATTTCGAGTTGTTGAAAAGACGAAAATCAAGGATCAGGAATGTGCGGGCGCGTCGCGGTACGGCGCGGCGGTCTGCGGTGGCGGTCACATATAAATACAGGAAAGAAAGATATAGATGGAAAAGAAAGAAAAAGACAAAATCGGAGAGAGCGCAGCCATCGAAACGACCTGTCTAGGGCCAAGTGCATGCATAAGGAGGACAGTACGGAAGAAGGAGAGACGCCGATATGGGACGGGCGAGGGAAAGGGAGTGCGCGGGGAGACGCCGATGCCGAGAGGACAGGTGAGCGAGGCGAGTCACCTTTCGTTCCTTGCTATGGACATACGCTTGAATCGCCGCCGCACACTCCTTGTCCCCCTCCGTCTCCTCAGACTTTCCCTCCGTTTACCACTTCCTAATTGAGACGAACTTTTATCATCATCGCCTACTGTTTATGCTTCACGTGTACTGTTTTGATTGTTGAAACGCCGCTTATCTCGTATTAGTATGCGTTTGTTTGCTCATTTTCTAGACAGTCTCTGGTCTCAGCCGACTACGCAAACCGAAAGTTTCTGGTCGCGTGTGGTCCCGCCGTTCCCCCTCTTGTACTTGCCTCCAATTATAATCAATCAAGGGAAATCTCGAGTGTGACGGGCCCTGTCTCTCACAGTTCCAATTTGATTTCGCTCCCTTCTTCTTTCCGTCTCCCAGTAAGGAATGTGAGTGACTCAGCGGTGACTCGTCGTACGCCTCTTAAAATACAGTCTCGTTCGCCCTGCTTTTTTGTTTCAGTTCTTTTCCTTTTTGCTATATATATCTGCGTCCGCTAATCAATTTCCGTTTTCCAAACGTGGTTGACAAATAAATAGATGTACATACCAATGCAATCGATTCGATGTTATCGCTCCCTTTGCCATCATCATTTTTTTTTGGAAACACTGATACTCCTTACTCTCTTTCACGCCTTTCCTCGCCTTTTTTCATCCGTATCTTCCCACCCGATCTGTAGAAGTTTCGTTCGATTGACCCCCAAACTAACTATTTACCTATCGGTTTTAATCGGGCCGTCTGCCTCGAACTCTCTCTTTTTTCGTGTTTTCTCCTCGCCTTTCAACTTCTTTTCCATTTCAGATGTGCTAAAGCTCTCCTACTAACCCACTTAATATCAATAGAACGTTTCTATTATGCAAGATGCCCCCTCAAGACGTACAAATCAGCATTGCGGAAGTCATTGAGGTGAGTCCATTTTTTTTTAAACTTCCCTCGAAGCCACAAGGTTTTCCAGGTACGCGGCTACGGTCTCAATGCTCCGGAGCTTCTTTCGGTAGCCGTTTCGGCCTCTGACAGGCTCCCTCCGTGTCCGAAAGGGACTGTTTTTGATATGGAAAACGTGTACCTCAACAGCAATGGACAGATTGAAGTGAGTCATTTCCTTGCTATGTCATCTTTTTTACAAAAGCATTTTAGATTAAAACAGTAGCCAGTGCGCGAGTGGACCGAGCATTCGTGCCTCCCGAATGGGCAAAAGGGGAAGAAGATCCGCAGGCAGCTGCCGTTTACTGTCTCGGAGCTGTTCTGAGGGCAGCTGGAGCCGAAGAGGCAGCAGATGTGGATCTCTTCTCTCTCGTAAACATTCTGACAGTTGCAATGACTGGAACAAGACCGACCGCACACAGAATGGGGCAAATGGCCAGGTATTCTTACGATCAACTCTCTCGTTGACAAGTTTATTCTTTATAGAAATCAATTGCGAGGACGTGATCCTGCCTCGATGCTCATGTGCATCTACGAAGAACTTATGGGCGATGAGGAAACGAATCAGGTTAATCAAAGCGTTAGCCGACTTTCAATATAATGATTTTTACAGCTGGATGTTGGTGATCTGGATGATCTTGAAGATGAATTGATGTCTACGGACGGAACAGACCGACGAGATTCTGAGATGGAAAGGTTCAGCGGACAAGTTGTCATAAGTGGGAACAACAATGTGAAGAGGGCAGTCGAATTCTTTGAAGATGACAATAGAGGTAAGCATTTTTTTTTAAATAAACGAGGTTTTTAAGTTTTGAATACCTTAAGAAGATGCCATGACATCGACATCTTCTGGCAACAGCACTCAAAAAGAGTCTTCTCCGTTCGGTGACTTCGACGACAGTCCTCCTCGCACTATTCCAACAGTCGAGATCCACCGCGATGAAACCTCTTCTCCTGTCACGTTCCTCGAAAACACAACTCTCGGAGGAATTGGATCTCCATTGTCCCAAAGCACGAGACTCGACGAAACGTTTATTGAAGAGCACTCAATTGATTTAGATGCATTTGAGAAGTAAGATCATCATTCGCTTAACCTGAAACTGTTTGTTCACTCATTACCAGTTCCAGGAACGCTTCGCCGTCTGGCCCGAAATCTCCGTTCGACGACAATTTCACTGACAAACCGGTCACGGTGGTTCCCGAAATACAAGTTCAGAAGGAGTCCCGACCGCACTCTAATCCATTCGATGAGGAGGAAGAGGAAGAATCACAGTTCGGAGGAGGGACTCTGTCTGGAAGAGATCCGTTTGATGAAGACGTAAGTTAATTGTGATATCAAATGTCAAGGAAGTCTCTATGATTCAGTCAGGAAGCTCCAATCGCGATCATGCTGCGAGAGGGAAGAAGTTTCACAAGAAAGAACAGTTGGTGCATAGGCTGTCTTCGTCGTCAGAAGAGATTGTGGAAGCGTCGATTCACGAGGATGAACCAATTGTGATGGCTCAGATACCTGAAGAAGAGAAACCGAAGCTTATGCCGAAGCCCATTCCGGTGTTCGACAAGGCTTACGACGCAGACTTCGACAACTCGCCGCCTCTCCATCACTACTCGGTCACTCCAATCGACAGCGGTCTGTCTCCTCTGGAAGAAGCTCAAAGAGCTCTTCGAGCCAACAAAGCAAGACATAAGCCTTCGAATGTGTCAATGGCAGAAGAAGCCAAGCATGCCGCGAGACAACGATATTCGAATGTGCCGGAATTCAATGAGGCGAAGAAAATGCAAACAGACGAGGACGGAGAAGACGAGACTGATGAGGTGCCGGCCTCCCTACCGATTATTCCTGTTCTCCGAAAAGAGCATGAAGAAGAGCCGAGATCCGTTCGACCTCCAAGATATCGAAAGTCGAGGGAAATTGAAGAGCCAGTGATCGTCGAGCAGCCTCCAAGGTCCGAGGAAGAGGAGAAGGAAGACATTGACGCCTTATTCGAAAAATATAGAAAGGTATCGCGGGGAAGAACAACAATTTGGTCAGAGGAAACGCCCTTGAAGCGTATATATCCCCTTGCCTCACACTTCTTTCAGAGTGTTTGCTCTTTCACTCCCGCACGGCGTCTTTTAATCCGTGTCGAGCTTTCGCACTATTCTTCCTGATCGCTTTACAACTTCGCTCTTTTCAGACTTCCGGCTCAATCGACTCGAAGGATCCGACTCCCATTCTGAAGGCAGACGAATACAAAGAACCTCTGAAACAAGGTAAGCCATTCAGAAGCAAAACGTGTGAATGATTTCAAAACGCTAACTTGTAAAACACTGAAATACACAGATCGGCGTTTTATATACGTAGCTTCTCTGTCAGTTTTTGCGCGGCCCGCAAAACGCCTACGCCCATGAATCTAGCCCTCACCGAGGGTTATGCATATATCGGTGCGTCGATTGATTACGCCATCGAAAAAGACGGCGCGGGGGAGGACATTTCGAATGCATTGCGACTTCTCGCGGATGTGAAATTTGAAACCGCTCGGTTCGTGGCAGATTTCGGAGATGCACGACGACTCTTTTAATTCGATTTGGAGCACGCGCCAACACCCTCAAACTTGCCGCTTCCTCCTATCTTCTCTCCGTTTTCTTTCCTGAAATATTTCACGCGTTTGCAGTTCCCGCACCCGTTGTGGCCGCTCCGGTTGTAGCCCAAGAGTCGCCGATATTGAAGAGAAGGAACTCATTACTCCCGTCACGGATCAGTGGAAGACAGTCGACGAGGCGAAGTGTGACGAGTGTGAGGAGCATGCGCGGCAAGAGAAAGGTTTGTTACTCTTACACTTTGTTAAAAACGAAACAAAACTTTTTCTCTCATAAATGAGTTGCCTGCAGACGCGCGCTATTCCCGAGTTCTTCGATCTGACCCGTCATCAGAACATCCGTCTTCGAGCTCCAGTTTCCAAAAAGGTAACGTCATCTGTGTAGACATTGTGCTCATCTCCTTGAAGCATCTTCAGAAGCGGCTCAGTTTGCATCGAGTTGAGGACACTGAAGTGGTTGTTGAGCTTCTGAATGGACAGAAAGTGGAAGTTGCTTGTCGTTCTGACGTCATCTCCCGCGATGTCTTTTCTCTTATCGTGCAGAACATGAACATCAACGAGCACGTCTTCTTCGGACTGTCTTTCCTTCGTGATGGTGAACATTACTTTATCGAAGATCATCAGAGACTCGAAAAGTTTGCACCTTCCGGATGGAAAAGTGTGGCTCGAGTTGGTGTGAAAGTACCTTATGTACTGCACCTCCGTTTCAAGTTCTATCCTCAAATCCTTGATTTCATCAAGTAAGTCACATTCTTTGCACATCCATTTTTTATTTTGAAACTCAGAACTGAAGTGACAATGAACGAATTGTACTTGCAATGCCGTCGAGATGTGCTCGAGGAACGCATCCAACCGAAAAGAGACGCTGCTTTCGAACTGGCTGCTCTTGCTCTTCAAGCTGAATTCGGAAATCGCCCGCCTCCAGTCATCACGGATTACTTCGACACGCAGCACTACCTGCCGAAGAAGTACTGCTCATTCGAAGATCAGACAAGACTCAAGAACATTCTGGCTGAACTTCACGGACATTACGCAGGAACCCGAATCTCGGAAGCCAAGCACAAGTACATTCAGATCTGCCAGAGACACGCGGACTTCGGCGCGCACATCCACCGGGTCTTCCGTAGCAAACCGAACTCGTCTCATGGCGCTTCTCCGTTCGATCCGGACACTGGATCCTCACTTTGGATAGGAATCATGCCACGTGGCTTATCCATTTACGAGCAACAGGTGAACACTCTCCCGATTTCTCTATGCTTTTCACTGCACTCTTTCTGTTTATCACAAAAGTGGTTAATCGGGATTTCAGAACCATCACATTCCAAATAAGTATATGAGCATTGCGAGACAGGTAAACGCGGAGACTTCCCTCTGTTTGCGAGACACCTTTGTTGTGAATGTCATTTCAGAGTAAACTCTGCTTTTTCATTATTCTCCTAATGACTTTCACCTGTTGACTACTAAATTTGAACATGCGCTTGTTACAGGGTGGAGCTCGTGAGGTCATTGCTGAGCATGTTTGGCCGCAAACGCAAACTCTTCAATTCGATAAGAAACGGTTCGTGATCGTGGCTGTTGGATCACATGAAGAACAGATCGAGAGCACCTTCTACACTGATCATCACTCAAAGTTTGTTTTCTCTCCCTCACTTGAGTTTTTATAATTCGATTCAGATCCTCCTATTTCGTCCGCTTTGCTGCTTCTCAGCACCGTTGGATGATGAAAATGCGGCAGTGGAAGAGCACTCTTCGTCACGAGAATACCATTTCTGCGATGCCAGATGTTATCGTCGAAGGACAACAGATTCCGCCAGCTCCGATCAGACGTACGTTTATTCTAATCTCGTTGTTGTGGCTACGTTGTCGTCTGTGTACAGAATCCTTGGAAGATTCACCTCGGGCCACTCCACTTCTCGATTCGGCCGATCAACTCTTCACCAAAATGTCATCCCAACCGGAGAAACCTTCGAGTCGACCTGCTGAGCTGCCGCCGCCTGCTCCGTCCAAACTTGCAGCTCAGTATGATACTGTTGATGAGGGAATTGTCTGTGGTTCGTGATTTTTGACGTTATTACACACTTTTCAATCACTCGATCGATCTCTCACAGCTCGTTTTGCAGATTCCCAAGCCGAGAACTTTGAACGAGTCAGTCCGAACGTGAATGGAAATGATACACCACGTGGAATGCAGTTCGAAGTGGCACTCATCAAAGACCCAAGTAATGGACTAGGTCTCACTCTCGTCGATGGAAACCTGAACGGAGTACCGGGAGTTTACGTCAAGTTCGTAGCTGACAATGGAGCTGGAATGAAGGCGGTGAGTGAAAGAGTGGAGTTTAAGGTTTATCTAAGTGATAGAAAATATAATCCATCATTCGCATTTCATAAGGAGATATGTGATGGAAACTGATCATTCCGCTGCTGAAGTTTTCCTCTCCCTTCATCACCGGGTAGTAGGCGAGCCGCCTGTTGAAGGTGTCCATGTAGATGTCATATTGTTCGATGGGATGGAAATGCTGTATTCGTTCCGATCCAAATTCGTCTCGAATGTCCTCGGGATAGATGTCCATGTGTGCTAGACACTTGGCCAGTTCCTGATCTTCCTCTGCTCTGTGCATATCCGGGCATCTCTCGGGATCGAGCATCACTTCAGTGAATGCCTCCATTGTAGGTCGAGAGAGAATATACGATGATCCGTCATTGAATCCACGTGGCTGAAAGAAATAATCTTGATCTGCTAATTCGGTTCATGAACAACTAACTGTGAAGAAATTCCACCGAAGACCTAAATAATGTTGTTTTGACGATGTATAATTGGAAAGAAATGCGCGCATGTTGTGCATCAAAGCGTACGTATCGTCATCCGCTCGGTAATACCAGTCATACTTCTTGCTGACTTTATCATGAACATATCTGAAGTGGAAATAATTGTTTGCGAACAAAAAGAAATGGCTCACTTGAACACCCTCCGAATCTTCTCCCAAGAATGGTCCCTGTGGTTCAAAAGTGGATAATAGACATGAGGAATGGAGTCGTCCATCTTCGAATCCGTGAAAAAGAGAAAGTCATCGCAGTGCTGAGCCCACGTTTCGAGTATCGTTTTGGCCTGAGAACTCAAACGTTTCTGGAAAACAACAACTATCTGCTTACTCTGGTTTCATGACTGGGTGTGGCAGTGTGAATGAGACAGAAAATAGTTTGAGGGACGGCTAGGGAATAGGTGATCAGGGAGAGAAACAAGAAAGCGATCATTTGAAAGAATGCGCGTCTCTCCGAAATGGCGGAGGCTGTCGTAACGCCGGTATTGATCCTTATCGTCTATTTGCAGGGAGTTTGCGTCGGCGACCGGATTGTCCAGGTGGGGACCGAATCCATGGAAGGTCAGGATCGACTGCGGGCTGTTGAATTGGTCAGGATGTGCGGTGATCGTGTTCCAATGGTTATCGCACGACTCGACGGTCTCATCCGGCACCAGAAAGATGGTACGATTCACTGCAGGGGCAAGGCCATTAACATTCTTAATTTCAGTGTCCGCTGAACTTCTGGCCGCAGCTGCTGCAGCTCGTAAGAAGTCTTCAGGCTCGGCGACCGGCGATTTGCTCAATGCTCACAAAGGTGGAAGCGGACAATCCAGAACTCCCCCGGCTCCGAGAAGAGCGGCTAACAGAAGACAGAGGGCCGTCAGTGACTTCGGAGCGATAGGAGATGCTCTGCCGACTCTCGATGGAGATAATCTGATCAACATCAAGGCGATTTCGGGACTCCATTTGGATGAATCAGATGAAGAAAAGGGCGAGTACCGTCTGCCGACTACCTCGATGTACGCGTTCGATCGAGATGATGATCTGCAGCAGTCGGTTAAGGAAACGAAGAAAACGACCCCGGAGCCAAAGGGCGGAGAAATCCGAAAATACCGTTACGCAAGACGTTCCAACCTGGAAATCGCGGAAGAAATTGAAGAAGAGCCTGTGGATTCCTCAGACGACGAAGAACATATAGACGAGGGAAAACGCGTTATCGACGTACGAATTCAACCTAAGTCCAATGCTCAACTTGTCATTTCAGGTCGAGCTTGAGAGAAACGAAAACGGATCTCTCGGTGTGCAAATCGCTTCGCTCGGTGGCCGTGTTTGCATCAAGCAGCTCACTTCCGAACCTGCCATTTCTCATCCAGATATCCGTGTAGGAGACGTACTCCTCTACGTAAATGGAATTGCCGTCGAAGGAAAAGTTCATCAGGAAGTGGTTTCGATGCTCCGTGGAGGCGGCGATCGGGTTGTGCTCGGAGTGCAGCGACCGCCGCCGGCTTACTCGGACCGCGCGAGTGTCTCTCCGGCTTCCGCGCAACTGATTTCAGTTATTTTGCAAAAGAAACCAATGGGAACTTTAGGTGCGAATCGGAGCAGTGTTCATTGACAATATTGCTGTGTTTCAGGATTGTCGTTGGCAAAGAGAACCATGAGCGACGGCATCTTCATCAGAAACATTTCTCAAGATTCGGCAGCCGCCCACGAAGGAACACTGCGAGTCGGCGACCGACTCATCTCCCTGGACGGAGAACCCGTTGACGGATTCACTCCGGCGACGATTCTGGAAAAACTGAAACTGGTGCAAGGTCCGGTTCAAATCACAGTAACGAGGGATCAGGCCTCGGACTAACATGATTGCTCGTGAAGCCATTGGGTAGGTTTAAAAATGCAATTCTATCTTTTAATTTTCTTTTTGTTTATGTCGCGTAATATCCTCTATACTAATCAAGTGTTCATGTGTTCTATGCACCTATTCCTTTCCTTTTTCATGTCACTCGTTGCCTTACTCCCCCTTAGCACACTTATATGAATACGGACAAGAACAGACCCTCCGCTCAAAACTCGATTATTAAAATAATTTATATCAACTAATTGATGACAATTTCTGTATTCTCTTTTTTTTTACATCGGTGCTCCTCTTGTTATATTTCATTCTGTGATAGATATTTCATTGTGTTGTGTCAGATTTTTATGAAGATTCTTATTATTTTGCGTTTGAGATATTATTGTGTTCATCAGATTGGCCGGAGCAAAAATAAATCTTAAATTGGAATGTCCGTTTTCAGATCCTCGTCGAATAAGGTCGTCGAATCCTCGTCTGATGGAATCGGGTCGTCTATGGAAATCACTGGATTCGTTTGATAGTTTCCTTCTGCAAAGTCTGATCTCGACTGAACCCTGGATCTTGCCTGCGTGGTGACCCGTTCGTCCTCCTTCTTCTGCCTGCACTTCAAATATTCGTCGATATCCTTCATCGCCTTCCCGATATTGTCCGAGTTCGCTTCCAATCGATCACATTCGTTGACGATTTCCTTCAGTCCCTCCCACACGTCGCCCGGAGTCTTCCTCAGGAACCGTCTGATCTCCTCCTCTCCGTCGTCCGATTCTTGCCGAGGTCTGACTACTCCCCACGCGTATCCTTCGATATTTTCGACTATTCCGTAAATGCAACCACTCAGCAAACCGAGTAATCGAGCGAAAACGTAGAGAATGGAGAGCGGGGGCGGTAGGTAGAGCTTCGATTCGATTCTGAAACAGGCAACAATGCTATTTGTTTTCGATTCGGACGGGAGGAACCCACTTTGAAAGTTGTTCGTATTTCAGATATCCCGTGTAATATCGACTCTTCTCCGATTCCTTCTCATATTCTTTTCTGAACAATATCATCAGTAGTGATTACAGTTGGAAAAACGACTCACGTGAGTTGAGCAGTGAGCAGGTTGACTAGCAGAATACCGGAAACGAAGACGTAAACGAAGACGAGGAAAGGGAGAACTGTGCTACGGAAAAGACAACTCGCTTCCGCGTAGTGCATGTCCAGAAAGTCGAGGACAGTCCTATTGAATTGATCGCAGTTAACGAGCTCTCCGTTCCGGTCCTGGTCCCTCACTTCGCCGAAAACTTCGAATTTTCCCTCCGAGACAACTGTGTAGACGACCGTGTTCTTGGTGTGGAGGAACGTTCCTGAATGGGCATCCATTTGTGATCGAACTATTTGGGGGTCTCACTTGAAATACTCACGTGGATCACTGCGAGAACAAACCAAAAAGTGCTGAAGAGGAGGACGAACATCCCGACTGTTCTCCACTGAAAAAACCCATATGTATGTTTGATCTCGATGGCTTTCCTCGCACCATTTTCTTGAATAGATGAACAAAGAATCCCAACGAAGGAACAAAGTGGAAGAATCGGAGCGAAGAGACGGTGGCGATGGCAAAGAGAGTACAATAGAGAAGTTCCAGTGAGATCGGGATGACTGTCCAGAAACTGTACCAGAATTTTACATCGCGCACTCCGTCACCTTTCTTGATGAAACAATAGAATCGGATCGATTCGAAAACAATCACGAACATAATCATGAACAGTCGGTAGAAAGCCAACTTGTTGAAGTGGAAGTATCGGTTCAGTTGGGGCGTCCATTTTTTCACTTCACGCCACTTTGTACCTTCCATACCCAATCGGTAAAACTGAAGACAAAACATTTGATTACTATGAAACCTGTCAACTTTGCGCTCACCAAATAGTCAGTAACCTTCACAAATGTCATGAATATTTGGGCGATCAAAACTGCCAAAACGTAGAAGAATGGAAAGTATTCGTAAACTTTCAGAGTGTCATAATCGTCATAAGTCGGATAACGGCAAAGCATTGTGGCGAACGCGAGTATGTATAATCCACGGAAGAACTGTAAACACAAAGTTTTGCTAAGATCCTACTCTTTGTGTTACCGCATGGAGGTACAATTTGTATCTCATACTCAGTCTCCATCTTTTTTTCTTCTCCTTCGAACCTTCTGCTGGAACTCCTTCTTTTTGCGATGAGTTCGTCGCCGTTTCGCTTTTCTTCGGGCGTGTCTTGTGCTCGATCTTATCCTCACAACTGCTGGTGTCTCTATTATTGCATTTACTCCGAGTTCTCATCAGCTTCAAGCAAGACTTCTGCGACAGAAACTTCTGAAATCTTCTGTTGATCCATGGCTTCCAGTTGACTGCTCACCATAGCCTTTGCCTTGTACGCAACGGCCATTATCTCTTTACTCTGACCGAATTTTCTGTTCAGATAACTTTCGTAGCTTTCCTTGGATTCATCCTGCTTTGGATACTTTTCTTTGTAGTCGACTTGCAACGCAGATGTCGCTTTCTGGGGTCCAATGTCATCTATTAAGTACAGGTCATTGATGACACTGCACGCGAGATCTTGTAGATGACTGAAACATTTCACATGTCTAGCTAGTATCACAGAAATGAAAGGTCTCACTCTTTCAACTTTTCATATTTCTCATTCTTCACTTGCCCGAAATCATGTGTCAGAAGGAGGGTTTGCATTGAGTGCGCGACGAAGCACATGACCATTATGGTGTGCAGTGGGTAATGGCAATCCGAGAGGAAATCTCTCTCTGGCACACTGAAATGAATTCGTTTAAATTTTTGTGTTCCTAAGTCCTTCTTTACCGGCTTAAGTCAGCAGTCTTTTCTAACTGTTCTAAGTCAGCCTTTTCTATTTCATAGGCATGTTCCCTTCCGAAAAAGGCTGCCACGATCATTCTAAAGGAGTCAAAATCGTGCTCGTAATAGTCTTCTGAAAACTAAACATGACTCATTTTTTAACAATTCATGCAATACCAATGTCAATATTGAGTTCGCTCATTAAAATAAAATGAATCTTCTTCAGAATGCCATCGGTAGAAATTCCAAGAATATGGAAGATCTTGAACTGAAACGGGAAACATTACTACTTTTGGAAATATGTATCTAGTTTTCTCACTTTCGTTTCGTAAGCCTTCAATATTGATCCAATGTTTTTTTGTGACGTCTTCTGAATTTGCACTCCATTCGATGGTAAACTTTCGCACTCCCGTAGCAATGATTGCAAGTCCATAGAAGTCTCTGGAGTATTCGAAAAGAAGACAGAAGAAGAGCTCATTGTCGATGACTAATTCACTCTTTTGTTTGTCAGTTGGAATGTTGCAGAATAGTATTGTGAAACACTGATAACGCCTTATTTACAATTCTCCAAAGCGGAGAGTCTGAAGAAACCTTCTTCACAAACACTTTATTATGTTCATCTGTTGATATGGCGAGAATTATTAGCAAACTGAGCAGGAATTGAAAACTAGTTGCAGAAGAGTAAAAGAACTAATCAGAAAACGAATGAGAACAGGATAACGACAAAATAGAGAACTGCGGATAAAGCGAAGATGACGTGGTTGAGAGCGTGAGCGAAGGCGGCGTAGTGGAGCGAGGAGTCCTCGTGCTTCGAGTTCTTCGGGATCGGCAGCACGGTATTGACGAGTCCGGCAAACTGAGAAACCCAATGGGGCGGCGGGATGTCCACTTGGGCAGTTGCCATCCGTTCGAGAACCAGCGAGAGAATGAAGAGGATGCCCGTCCAGAACATGTTGAATCCAGCGTACTTGACTGAAAGTGAGACAAGTTTCCAGAAGAATGCGAATAAAATGACTTACGGATGGTTGGCGTGTGAGCAGTGAATGATGGAAGACGTTGGGAAACGAGGATCAGCGAGAGAATCTGGGAGACAACGGAGAATCCGAGGAGGATCGGTTGGGTCTTGGAGAGTTGGAAGAAGACGGCGGCAAGGGTGAAAAGGGAAGTGATGAGGGCCGGAAGAAGCATCTCAGATGTGAAATAGACTGCGTTTCTGAGAAAGAGCAGATAAGAACGAAATGAGAGCAAGTGCAAACCTTCTCAAAGAAACGCAGAGCTCTCCATTATCAGCCTGAACATCGAACGGATTGCGGCGAGGATCGGAGAGCTGTTCGATGGTGTACGGGGATTCCTGAAAAGGGAACAGGTCAGTTATCTCAAAAGTCTTTCTAATGACGAAAAGCAAGGGCTTAAAGCAAATGAAACAATCTAAGAGTGTCTATGCAGAAGCAGAAGCATCACGCATTAAACTTGCCAATCCGTTGGGTCCCGTGCCACCGTTATCCGGCGAGTGAGAGATAGACTAGATAATAAAGTGATTCAGAAAGAAACCGGGCAAAGAAAGAAATTCGGATCAGAGAGGAACTCACAACAACGTCGACATCTTCGATCTTCCATCCAGACACGAACGGATCCGTCGTCGCCTCTCTTTCCTTATTCTTGACGCCTTCTGCGACGGTGAAGTGAACCGCCAGAAGTCGTTTGTCGTCGAATTTGTAGCAAACCTATAATAAAAGGCTGGATTATGACATATGATTGTCATTTCTCACCCTCTGCACATCATTTGGATAGTCTTCATACTGGAATCTGAATGGAGTGGTGAACGAGAAATCGGACCACAGATAGATCTGTCCGGTGTAATTGGCGGCGAGAACCTTTGAAGTAACCTGTCCCGGGTTGGAAGTGGATCCTCCGTTGATCTGAACAATGTTCGGAGTCCAGATCTGGATCCAGTAGAAGTTGAGCCAGCTGAGCCCCCACTGTTCTTTGTCCCAGGAGACCATAGTGTCGTTCCAGCTGAGAACGAAACGACCGAACACTTTCACATTCTGTCTTCTCTCATCAATCTCCACATTATTGATTCGGACACTTTCCACACGGACCACACGCGTCTTGTTGTCCGTCGCGTTCTGATAAGTCGTCTGAATGTGTGTTCTCAGCTTCCAGGCTCTGTCTCCTCCTTGGCACGAATGGCACGACTTCCGGCAGTTGGCCATCATCCACACGGCGTTCGTCGAGCATTCGCCGGTGGCCGCCCATTCGGAGCACTTCGGATCGGCGTCCTCACATCCTCCGGCGGCCGAGGCGACCGTCAAGAGTGACGTGGAAATGAGGAGAAGCCGAAGCATCTGGAATTGAAAAGAACTTTCAAGAAAAGCAGAGGGAGAGGAGCGGATATTGAATAATTGATGAAAGAGGAACACGAAAAGAACAAAGGAAGTCAGGGGCAACCGAATCTGAGGAGGCGGAAGACTGAAACGACGTGAAAGCACGTCTTCTTTTCTCATTTTTTCGTTTTTTTCTGTCTGTTGTTTGCTGTGTAAACTCTTTTATTCTCTTTTTTGAACCGACCTTCCAGAATGGACTGAAACTTTCAGCTGTGTAATAGGGGTGAAGGGTAGAAATGGAAAGTTTCGAACTATTCTTCTTCTCAATCAAACAATAAAAGCGATTGATCACAAAAATATCAGTTTGAGTCGGGGCCTAAAAGTGCGAAGCGGCATGCAAAATGACGAGACGATTCGGAAAAAAGAAACAATAAACGCAAAAAGACAGCCCTCCCCAAGTGCTTATCCGAAACGGGTTGTGTGAAGCTGTCAGTGGCCGGTCTGACGAGGCTAGTTAGCCGCGTTGCCTCCCTTTCTCGGGGATCCCGTCCGTCCCGTGGGTGGCGACGACGCAACAGGTCTGTTCCGAAGAGGACGAGATAATGATAAGCCGGCGAGGGCCTGTTCCCGGGGCCCGATAACGATAATGACGCGGGAAAACACACCTAGAGACAAAAACCGACAAAGAAACGACTTATACCGAAGACGCATTGATCAACTCGTTATGAGAAACTGATGGCCACGGGGTTCCAAAGACTACGCGGCCGAACTCATTCAAACTTTCCCGCCGTTTTTCTATGGAGTTCTGCTAACGTAGTCTTTGGACCGCCGTGATGACCTGCTCCCCTGAGTTTTTATGTTAACAGGAAGACGAATCAAATCGTCAATCACAAGATTGTGAACAGAAAAGAAGAGAAATGACATTATCAAAACACATTTCGTTTTCGTTCAAACCAGGTGGAACTGTTTTTGTGAAAAGAACCTTCGTCTTCGCATCCAAGCCAGTTCTTACTCGCTACCGTCTGATTGCAGGTGAATGGGTTGCCAAGTGTCATCGGACAGCAGCCAATTCGAGAGATCAGACTATGACCGACTGTGGAAGAGGATGAACTCCGTCTCGGAGCAGACGCCAGTGGCGCAGAAGAAGAAGAGCGGCAAAGGGAAGAAGAACGGATGGAGGATCATTCGGGTCATCCTGGTATCCACGTACAAGGACTTCAGAAACGAGAGAAAAGCGGCGCTGGATTTGGTGAGCATTCACTTAGGAAGAAGGGACGGAAAGATGCAAAGTGTTTCAGATAGAGAACAAGTTACAGCCGTATGCGACCGAAAAGCAAGTGTTCCTTCAAGTGGAGGACTTCAGTTGGGTGAGTACTTGATTAATGATTGGTGAAAACGAAGTCGGTCAGGGATCAAAGGCGCATTTGGAAGAAGCCTCTTGCCTGTATCCGATCGAGCGACTGCGTCGGGAAGCGGCTTCTTCCTCCTCCTCCACCACTTCTTCTTCTTCTTCTTCTTCTTCCTCGACATACTTCTATTTGCACTTCCTCGGGTTGGTTCGGGATAATTTGGAAGGGCTGATGTGACTGAGTGGGTGCCATTTGGGCCTAGATAAGGTGGAGAGGGAAGGAGGAACAAGTGACGGAAAACCAGTTGGGATGGCCATTCGACACGACCAATGCCTTCGCGGTAATGTTTTGTTCGGATGAAGATAGGGGGAAACGAACGACAAAAAATGATTATGATTGTCGGACAATGCTGGCCGATAATGACGGATTCTGGATGATTATGGGTTGACGGAAACGAAGATCCGGTTCCTGTAGGACCAACTTCGTGAACATTGTCTTTTCAGAGAATGCTCCGGTTACCTGATCGACCACACCTTCACCGACGACGCTTTTCTCCGTGAGCACGCCATCTCAAGTGAGCAATCTTTCTCAGAAGTCTTTCTTCAACTCGCTGGTCTCCAAAACCCCAACTGTAATCATTCCATTCATTCGCATCAACTCGAGCTTTAAAGTTTAGCGCTTTTCCTCTACCGCAATCCGAGTTTCCTACAAGAACTTCCGTTCAACGTCACCAACTTCATCGATTCTCCAGCCAACAGAGAAAGAGCGAAATACTTAACGTCGATGGTCAAAGGGTCGGTGTCTCCGTCACAATTCGTGGAATACTCGGTCCGTACGTCTGGCATCAACAACATTCACTTCAAACACATTCTATTCGACGATCTCAGCGGGGCCACGAGACCAATAGATGAGCTGATAAACAGATATTTGGATGAGTTGCCAGACGGAGAATCGAAAGTTCCATCAGCTGAGGAGCTGCTGAAAGAGCACTTTGAGGAGTTGGGAAATGAAAATGAGACACTGCAAAAGGTAGGTCAAACTCATTTTATTCCTCTGGAACAACCTGTTTGAGGTGAAAGTGAACATAAAAATGGGAAAATCTACGTTGATAGTGGGAGATTACTCTACCGGAAAGACTGTTCTCCTTCATGCAATCGGGAAAAGTTCCAGTAAAGCAGTACTTGTGAAAGGAAGAGAACACATGAGTGTAATTGAATTGCGAAGAGCAATCGAAGCAAAAAGCAAAGTAGTAAGGAGGTTGATTGAAATGAAATTCGATAGTCTTCTCAGGAACTTGTGGATCCCCATCAGAAGAACACGAGGGTTCTGATGGTGGATGACGTGCACTTGATGTCGAAAGAAGCACAAGAATATCTCGTTGGGAGTGAGGAACTGGTGATTGTGGCGACGAGCAGAAAGAAGAAAGTGGCGGTGGACATGGAGAAGATATCGATTCCCAGCATGGATCCAGAGGATATATTGGTTGGTTTATTCTCTAATAACAATACTTTTGGAACCTGGGCCCGCTGGGCAGGCTGATGATTCTTAATGAACGAGCTCTATTCAGGAAGAACTCTCATTTTGGTTGAACGGAGGAATGAGAGAAAGAAGAGCGGTCCCATCGGTGAAAGCGTCGAACATATTCAAGATGTCTCAACAGAAACGCAGGAAAAGTGTGGGCACTGTGGAAGGTTCCGAAACGTACATTTCCAAAGAATCTTGCCTACTTTACAGATGGACACTCAATTGATGAAAATATGGGATGGAATAGCTTGAAATGCAGAGTAATCGGAACACTCGGAAGGTTCGGAAGCTCGGAGGAAAAGTGCGCACAGCTTTCACAACTGTCCACATTGAGGTGAGTTCAAAAAGATTCAGTATTATTTATTAGGAAATAATTACATAAAATAAAACGTTTGAACTTATCCGAGAAGTCCTCCGACAACTCCTCCGACTCCTGGGTTCACTCCCAGTCCGACGTTTCCGTAGGCTCCTCGTCCTCCTCCGTATCCTCCGTTTCCATATCCGTTTCCTCCGTATCCCCCTTGGTTTCCATACGCTCCTTGGTTTCCATACGCTCCTTGGTTTCCGTACGCTCCTTGGTTTCCGTAATATCCTTGGTTACCGTATCCATTTCCTCCGTATCCACGTCCTCCGTATCCTCCTCCGACATCTGAAATAGATTGTTTCCTGCTGAATCACACATTCCAATAACTCACTGGCTCCAGCATTGATAGGTCCTGCACCCAGTCCGAGGCCGGAATTGAGTCCGAATTGAGCGGCCACGACGGCGACGAGTCCAAGAGTAACAAAAATATTGCAAAGAGAAGACATTGTTCGAATCAGAATTAGATTGACTTGTTGTGTTTGGGATCTGCGCCATTAGTTTTATATCCTTCCATTGCTTATCATTCTCTCTTTTCGAAATTACGTAAACTCTCTGCGTCTCTCGGTCCCACCCATTCTCTCGGTGCAGTTCAGCGAAAGGGAGGAAATACCCAGTGATCATGATTGACCTGATCACTTAACGAACCGCATGATCATTTAGTTCCCGGCAAGGGCAAAGACTTTTTATGACGACTAAGACATTGACGTCAGCGTTATTTGTTTGTTTCTCACAAGACAGTCTCTGAAGACCAAAGTAGATCCAATGATCACATCAGACAAAACGTACAACTGGGCAGAATCACAGATCATAAGGTTCTTCCAGTGTCGTCGAAGCGGACATGTGTCTGATGGAAGTGGACGGAAAAGGACATCTTCTGATTGCCGCGCTCTGTTTTCTGACGATTGTAGAGTCCGGATTGAACGAGATGGAGCTGCGGAGTCTTCTGGTCTCCGAGTACACTTTGTTGCCAATCGGAATCAGACGAAACTTCAGAAACCTTCCATTTGGTATGGAGAATCGAGAGAGAGAGAGAGAGAAGAATTATAATTTCAGAGTATTGTCCCGATGGGTTCGGAACGACTTCTTGTCCGCAGATGAATCCGTTGAGATGGTACACAGTCCTCAACCGGCTCGGGCATCTTTTCGTCAACATCAACTCGGAAACCAACCACTTTGTGCTCCCAACTGCTTGCCGACGAATTGTGCAGAAAAAGTTTGATTCATTTTTTATATCTAACTATCTACTATGGCCATTTCAGATTTCTGAAACATCCCAGTCACCCGGACCATTTCAAAAAGCATCTGAAGACGTTCATGAGCATTTTCTCTTCTCGAGAATGGAACAGGAATCGAGAAATCGGACAATTCATTAGCTAACTATTAAAGAAAAACAGAGAAGAGAAGGAATAAATGAAGTTTCACCGATAGTTATTCAAACCAGAGAGTTTTTCACAACATCTTTGAATGCATTGTGCTGTTTTCGAATCATAGAGACCAGCTCCGCGAATGTCTCGTGAACGCAGTCGTTGAACTTGGAAGAGACCTCCAGGAACGGGCACCCGATGTTCCTCGCCAGCTGCTGTCCTTCGAAGGGAGTCACCACTCTCTGTTTCTTCCTGTCCTTCTTCGACCCGACGAGAACAATCGGCTGCTGCAAAGAGATGGTCTAGATGAGAGGGAACATCCGGTTGAGGGCGAACTCACGTTGTGCTCCCTGCTGTGCTCCAGTTTCTTGTAGATTTCGGCGGCATGATAGAAGGACTGTCTGTCTGTCACCGAGTACATTATGATGATGCCGCGAGATGAGATGCACGCCTTCTCAAGCGACATCTCGTCGGCAATCTCGACCATAAACGCGTCGCCGTCTTCGTTCTCGCTCTGCATATCCGGGAACATTACGTCGTTTCCGTTCTGAACACGCTGGAAACACGTCTTTCCGACTCTCGGAGCTCCCAACACGGCTAATTTGCACTCCTGAATCGGACCCGCATCTTCCCATTTCCGAGAAACTCGGCTGTTGACGTCCTGTTCGATTTGCTTCCATCGGAAAGTCTGCATATTCCGCAGAAGATGATCGAGAGCCAGATTGGGAACGGGGCCAGCCAGCGAAGGAGGAGCACAGCAGACGGGGCACTCGGGAGTGCGGTACATGATTGTGGAAGTGGAACCGGGGAGAGTCGAACGGGCACGACGGCTGATTCCCATTTGAGGACGGAGACGCGAGAAGTGAGACGGAGCAGGACCCATGGAAAAAAGCAGTTGATTGCAGCAGATGACGCACAGAGAATGTCCGCATTGCAAGCTGACAGGCTAGAAAAAGAGAGGATGTTAGGGAAAGTAAAAGTTGTTCTCAAGGTAAGCATTCAAATCATAATTGTGGCGGATCCTAGTCACACAATGCACTATTAACTTTTTTGCGTGCCTACCCAGCAACCGGTTTCCCTTCCAATTCTGGTCAAACACACGCGAGTGCTAACAGAAGTGAACTCCCTCTCGGAATTTGTGCAGGAGGTCCTTGCCGTAATTGCATGTTTGTACAACGAATAATACAGTAGGCTAACAAGTGCTAATCATAGTTGTGCAACGTATTGCGCCATGGTCTTACTCGATCGTTCTCGCTCACTTTAATTGCCACGTTCCACATGATTTTGGCCCCCGGGGCTTTCTGTTATGACGTGTCATTCTCTCCGGACATTTGATATCGATGGATGCGACCGTAACTCAGCGGGAAGCCTTTCGGAGTAACACTTATGATCAAAGGTACACTTGGACACAGACGATTACATAGATGAGCTCTTTGAGTGGGTGCCGTCGACAAACACAATATATTACTGATACTGTAGAAGGGGGAACAGTTTGTGGGGTACTTAACGATCCGGTGCCCTATCAACCTAATGATTTAGTGCCCATCCCTGGTTTGAATCTATTTGCACTCGCCCAAACTGACCTGTTCGAAAATTTGATGGCAATGGGGGCAAACGCCAATTGGAAGAGAGGAGCAGGAAGAGAGTTCCGGCTCTGTGGAAGATTCGACGAGTGTGTGATCGTCCAACACTTCGAACGCGATGATTCCTTCTTCGTCGGAAGAGCACGATGAGGTCACACTACCGTAGTCCGAGTGAGACTGACGACTTGGACACTTTGCAATTGTGGCAGGCATGCTTCTGAATGAATTGAATAGTCCGAGAGGTTCAAAAGCAAATGATAAAAAGTGTTAAGAATACGTGAGGTGAGCGAGTGGTGAAAGAGGTGACAGATTGGTCCGAAGGAAGGAGGATGGTGTGAAGGGACGGCGGGAAAGAGGGCGGAGTCACCGGAGAGGGAGGGACCGCCGGGCAAAGAAGGTAGGCGGGTGGGCGATAAGTTGAATGAATGGAGTCAATGACCGAAAAAGCATTACTATGTGTTAGGCCGGTAGCCTAATTAACCGTTGGATTTAGGATGTGTGCTCATCGGATTGTCCCAAAAAGGACGGCAAATAGTTGGGTAGTGGAAAAAAGTAATTCAAAAGGGAAGAGGAAGTGAGAGACGACCGCCCGAATGAATCAGAGGCGAGTCTTCCGGCTGCCGCCGCCGCCGCCATCAGTGACTCAACGGCACCGGGAGGAGCGGGCTCCCTCACTCATAAAGCATATTTGAATTTGTCGCAACCAATCTGTTTATGTAGTGGACGACCAGGAAAAGGAGGAAGGCACCGGAGGGTGACGAATTGACGGACACCATTTGCATATTCTCGTCTTTGATGTTATCGCAAATGTTTTGGGGGAACAAAATCCACGGAATGGAGACCTCTAGTTATAAACAAAACGGAAAGGAAGGAGGTAATCCGAAGAGATCGAAAGAGGAGTCAAGAAGGTGCTCGAAGGGACGGTGGGGCAGCTGATCATGATTTTATCGTAGAGAGAGAGAGCAGATGCAATTGGTGAGATGGTATCAGGTAGGATTACGGATGTGATAGTTTAGCGGAAGGAGTCGGAAAGGAGGCTAATGGGAACAAGTCATGGGAACAAACGAGAGCAAGGAGTAGATAATATTCAGCCGGGGAAAATATGAGAAGGGGGGCAGATGGTAGGGGAGTGTCGTATGAAATGGACGATATATCTTCTCGTATGGGATATTGGGAACTCTTTCTCCCCTATCCACATCAATCCAATCACCCTCTTGACTTTAATTATATCGGTTAGTACCTACTCCAACTTCAAGGTACAATGCCTAATTAGCATCTTTCCAGTGTAGTTATGAGGATCTCAAGTGTCGTTCTTCTCGTACCAAATCACCCCCACTACACGAGCCAGGTGCGTCTTTTCAAAACTGACCCGGTAGTGACGTGGCGGGCAGGTGAAAGTCGTCGTGGATAAGATCATTTGATCCGGTCCTTCTTCAATTATCAAAGCGAACAGGTGTCCGCGAGGGCCGAAAGGGCAGGGGAAGAGGGGGAGGGGCATTCAAAGTTTTCGCAACACTTGGATGATTGGTGTATCATTTGACGGGCAAAGAACACCTGTGCAAATGCCGCAAAGAGATCACCCGAATGCACTTTTCTTAGCGGCAAGTTGGCGTCCCGCAGTGAGGCAATGAGCGAGGGGCCATCGGATGAACGGGCCAAGAAAGAGCAAGCGATATGTTTGAAAAGATATCGACTTACAAGCGAAGGATTGACCTGGGGTAACGGATAATGTCATTATAAACAAATCTGAAGTAGCCACGGGCCAGTTGTTTATAGGACTATTGCGTACTTACGGAGAATTGGGTGACACGTACTGATGGGGGAAAGAAGAATGTAGGAATGATTTGGGTGTTGTGGATGCCTTCGTTCAGTGGCTATTTATTCGAATGAAGAACACAAAGTTATGATGCATTCGACGGTTTTCCTCGAACACGCTCGCTACCGTAATCCCGAACGTACTCTGTCAATCAAGCGAATTAACGGAAGTGAGACAATTGAACCAACGGACAGGTGAACCGACCATCACTCAAACTTCGTTGCGTTTTCGCCTGTTGCGTAATATTTGAGTTGTACGGTTACGCAATGGTCTCCCTAAAAACTTACAGTTTCTGGTTGGTGGCCACCGGGAGAAGTCGCCACGTCACACAGGGGTCGGCTCCTGAAGTGGGTGCCATTTTCTGTGACGGCTTCACAGAAGAAGAAGAGAGAATACCCACTACGGTTCAAGGACGTGACGTATCGATGCCGTATAAACACTAGAGGGCGGCTTCTTTATCTGGTCTCTACGCCTCTCTTTCTTCTATTGTCTCTCGCCTGGTGTCCAATTAGAGCCGTTTTATATATCTTCTCGACAGAGTGTTTTGTTGGCAATTAAAGGATTGCGCATGTTGGACAGGGGAATCACGACAATTCGAAAATTAACGAACTAAGTGGGAGAGTATCTGGCGGTGACCTGGTTTTTGTGTGAACCGGTGAAGTGCATAAATCAAGTGCGAGGAGTACGGGGACAAAGTTTGGAAGGACAGCATAACGAACGGAGGGAAAGACCACCTTGAAGTGCGAAGACGAACAGGTGACTGGCAGACACCGGCTTGTGCAATCTTTTCTGTTTAGCCGACACCAACAAAAACAATCGGGGGAGAGAGAGCCTGAAGAGCAGAAACCGGTGATATCGTTTGAATTTTATTACACTCTTATCACCGGCAAACACAAACGAACGCGTCAGAAGGTACAAGAAGACGGCAAACAAGAAGTTGGAATGAATAAGTGATGAGAATGCAAACAGAGAAAAAACTGTGGGGGAAGGTTTTCGAATGTGGCAGCGAGAAAGGGACGAGAAGACACACTGTTCTTTTCATAAAAACACTTTACTCATTCCTCAAATTGTCACGTTTTGTCCCATTTCATGCCTGAATGGTGGATCCTCCGCACGGTGTGGCCTCCAGGCACACGTTGACATCGCTCTTCTGACGACGCGACTGCGAACGGCAGCTCTTGGCGCTCCGATTGCTCTTCGCAGAGTTCGAACGACGCGATCTCAACGACTTCTCCGGTTTCTCCTCGCCGCCGCAGATGTAGTTGGTCAGCCAGCAGCCCGATTTCGCCTGACGACGCTTGTACTCCTCCACGAATCCCATCATGGAACCGATCGGCTCAGCCGTCGCCACATCTGAATTAGGTCACTTGTTATGATGGTATCCTTCTCAACTGTTACCTTTCTCGATGTTGATGGCAGTGCGAGTGTCGAGCTCCTCGACGTCGACCGGATGATCAGTCGATTCGATGCACGTGGCACTGCCGGGCAGGTTGACGACCGTCTGCGGAGCCGAGAACTGGTCGGTGAACTTGACGGAGAGGGAGAAGGCTTCCTGTCCGACGGATCCGACCGTATTCTTCTGGTCGATGAACTGCTTCAGTCCCTTCGCGTAGGTCGGAAGCACGAATCCCTTGATGTTGAGACTCGACTTGTCCCATTGGCCCAACTTGCGGGCGTCCACACGGAACTGGATGATGCGGTGGGACTGCGGTGGGAAACGGAACACGTTCGTCGGGAAGCTGATGGCCGCGTTCGACGAGATCAGTTTGAGCACAAAGTCCTTTCCGGTGGTGTTGCGGAAGACGAGCGTGCGCTGGACGAGATCACGGCCTGGCGAGATGTGCACTTCCGTTGGATTCAACTTCTTTTGCGAAGGCATCTTGTTAGTTGGAGAGTGGAAAGAGGAGCGATCCAAGTGGTTCTTCGAATTTCCAAAATCGATAATGACTGACCGCACGCTCTCGTAGCACATGAAGACCTTTGAGAAGAACGGACGTGTCGGTCGGAGTGCACGTCAGTTTACTCAGTTTACTAAAAAAATATATTTGTATTTCTACAAATTTCTGAGTTCTGAGTGGAGAATTGCTGAAGGAGAGTCATTCAATAATGAATGAGACGGACTGTCCAACATGCAGTGAGTTTTTACATGGATATCTTAAGCTGAATTGTCTTTTTCAGAGTTCCCGACTACTAAAACACGGGAGAACCGTTTGAGCGAAGCATGCCAATTCATTGTTCCTCGTCTGTCAAACACGTTGATCGTACCCAACTACGGGCAAATCTCTGTTGTGAAAGGCGATCTTTCGTGGCTCAGTCCGGAAGTTTCTGCTTTTCTGAACGAATGCGTCAGTTTGATGACTCCGTCGGCGGTTCGTCTGTGCAATGGAAGTGTCTTCGAGGCACAGGAGCTGCGGGAAGCCATCGAGAACGAGTTTCGGACGGAAGAGCAGAAACAGCTGGATCGCCTTCATTTGACCGTTTCCGACATTGGATACGACGACGTGCACGTTGTGACGAAAGATAGAGTGGATGCCGAACCGGGATGCTCTCCGTCTTCCGATGGCAGCACGCGGAGTGACAGCAGTGAGAATGTGGACGGCGTCCGTCTGAGTGCTCACTTCATGTCCGTCAACCACTTCGAATTTGCAAAGGAGCAGAGATTCGACAGTTGTATGACCGGACGGATGATGTACGTGATTCCGTTCGCGATGGGACTGATTGGAAGTGGACACGCGGTTTACGGAGTGCAGATAACGGATGATCCGGTGCTCGTTCTTCATCTGAGAAGCACTTTCAGGTACGCAATGCACAGAGAGCCCCACTTGTGAGCACGTATTTCAGAGTTCTCTCAAGCATTTGGGATTTGATAGCTTCCACGACGAACTTCATTCGGAGTGTTCACTCGATCGGAATGCCTCACCCAATCATTCGAAACATTTCCAAAGCGAAACCGAGCGAGAATACAGCAGTCGGCAGCTTCGTTGTGCTCAAGCACGATGACCAGCAAGTGTGGGCTCACGGAAACTCTTTCGGACGGAACTTCCGCTTCGGCACGACCTTCGCTGTCCATGCGGCTTCTTGGATTGGAGTCAAGAGAGGGTGGCTGGCTGAAAGTGCCTCTATTCTGTCCATCACGAGTGAGTATACTTGCCAGGGAAATTCCACAATTGGTGCCTATTCAGATCCACAGAATCAGACAATCCACGTGTGCTACAGTAGTCTCACAAATTTTCAGAGCCTCGCTTTGCAAACCGGATTGGCGAAGGGTTGGAAGGTTCGTAACAATATTCTAATGGGCAGTTGAGAAGGAACCCGGTTGCAGGTGGAGATCGTGAGCAACAAGACAGTTTGGCTGCATTGGCACGAGGGGAAACTGCATGCGATTGCGCCGGAAAACGACGAGATGAGCGAGATGAGTACTGCTCAGAACCTCCGCCAATTGCTCTCTGGATCTGCGGCAAACTATCAGATCCAGGGTCTGAATCCGCAAAACAGCAAGTGGAACTCGGAGTTCGGAGTGCCCATCTCCGCTTATATTTTTGCCAATCGCCGTTGCGATCAGTTTCCTTTGATTCTCGAAGCAAATTCGTGGCAGGATGGAGTGGTTCTGGCCGCCGGAATCCGTATCAGCTATCCAAAGAAACAGACTGATAGTGTGTCAAGTGGTATCAATGAAAAATTGAATACGTCCAATCTCTGATCATTGACAGACTCAAGTCGAGGACGCAAAACTCGCAACATTCTAGTCGAGTGTCCGATGCTCCGAACTGACCCGATCAACTTCAGTTTCGCGAAGTACGTGAATCACTGGCTCCAGATGGGAATCACTGTCAAAGCCACGTCGGCTGAGAAGAGCGAACCGGAGACCCGCCGTCCTCCTCCTATCTTCTTCACGAACTTGTCCCAGGAAATTGACAGAAATGTGATTTGGCCTGGAGGCGTTGACAATGCACGCATTTTCGAGTACATCTTCAAAAGGTGTGTTCCTTTTCTCCAGAGCTGGACATTTGCCGGCCGTGGCTTTTTTGCGGCCTGTGTTTTTGACCCACATTCAGTTGACCGGTCGGACTCAAAAAATGTTTAGCCATTGTCCTTGGTATGAAGCAACTCCAGAACAATTTTGGGCCCAAATGGATCAGCTCATCTAGCGATAAACTGAAACGCGGCCGCTGCGGCCAGGTTTTTTGAAAAATACGTCTGCAACGGCCGCGTTTCAATTTAGCTCCAGATCAGATTATCCTATCGAGCTCGGATCGAAAATGCCTCACACCAAGGGCAATATCCAAACATTTTTGGGTCCGATCGGTCAACTGAGAGTGGGCCAAAAACACAGGCCGCAAAAAAGGCCAGCTCTGCTTGTGTCCCATCAAACCTCATCAAACCTCTACGAGCATTTCAGATGCACCAATCCAACGGATCTCTCGAACACAACATCTTCTGGTCTTGGGAAGGTTCCGAAGAGTCTAGAGTTGAATGCCCTCGTCAATATGCCTGCTCTGCTTCAAATTGATATCCGTTTCTGGCTTCAGGAACTCAGCAAACTCCGAACTTTCTTCCACACTCAAATGGGATCTTGTCTTCCTGCCCAACTCGACAAAGCGCTCACGGATATGGCTGCGGCGATTTGAGCGAACGAAACAAAAGCAACTAATAATGATGAACGGTGTCCAAATTTGATTTATAAAAAAGCTTGTTTGAACATTACTGCAGAACATGCGAATGTTGACTGTTCTGATGAATCGGAACAATCGTTCCAGTGCTAATTGCAGTCGTTCTTGTTTGCCCCACCCCAAGAAACAGTGAAAAAAGGACGGCACATGTTGAGAGTGGGTGTGAGGAATGAACAAAATAGTGAGAATGGATGCGAGCTACGGGCTTCAGAAGTTTGAGCCCGTCTTTTTGAAATGTTTCTTTCTACTCGAGTATACTCCTTATATTGCATTCAGATGATTTCTCGTTTCTTCGTCCTTGTGCCTCCTGTACATCTTTATCTGATAGAAAGGCGTCACAATCCGTGTCGAGGTGTCATTCTCTCACTTTCCTGCCAACTCGTTCCAGCCACCTGTCCTCCATCCCGAAGGCATTTTTTCCCCGGATCCTACGTGCTAATAGATACCTCACAACACACTTGTTTATTCATAACCGAGTCACAGACAATCAAGTAAATGCATTGCCGGAATGCGAACTGGGGATCGAGAGATCTAAGCGGATTAGCAAGTCTAGATTCCGAGCTGTGTGAAGCTCTGCTGCTGCATTTGACTCTCCGAGTGTCTTCCCAGAAGCCAGTACGTCGTCACGGGCCCTTTTCCCTTCGCATCCACGGTTCCTCGGAGAACAATCTGGTACTCTTGATAATAGCGAAGACAGAAGTCGCGTGCATCCTGGCTCATCTGAATCTTCTCCGGTTCGCTTGTCGATTCCATCCGAGATGCCACGTTGACAGTGTCTCCGAACAGACAATAACGGGGAGCGGTGAGTCCGACGACACCGGCGGCCACGGTTCCAGTGTGAATTCCGAGCCGGATGCGAAGACGGACATTGCGACGGTGCGGGATTTCGTACGTTTTCAGAAGAACCATCAGACCGAGAGCCGTGTCGCAAATGTTCCGTATGTGCTCATTTCCGTTCTCTTCCGGTATTCCAGATACGATCATGTAAGCGTCTCCGATTGTTTCAACCTGAAATGATTGAAATTGTAAATACATGCATCAACAGTTGTCTTCGATTACTTTGTACGCGCTGTGCTTGTTGATGGTGTCGTCGAATTTGCTGTAGATGTTGTTGAGCATACTGACCACTTCTAACGGAGTCGACGACGAGCAAATGGTGGTGAATCCAACGATATCACTGAAAAATGAAGAGTTGATGCTCTTGGTCAATCAATATTCCACTGAAAATCACCTGAACATGACAGTTGCCATCGAGAACGTCTTCGGAGGCACTGATCTTCCCATTTTCAGTTCGTTTGCCACGTATTTCGGAAGCAGCTGGCTGAGCAGTTTGTCTGCTCGCACATTAGCTTCTTCCAACATTCCCGTTCTCTCGGCCACTAGCTTCTCGAGATTGTTCGCGTATTGTTCCATCATTCTCATCATCTGATCAACCAGAGATCCTTTCCTAAACGGATAAATACCATGACGAAGGGGAGATTATACTTACACTTTCAGATAGTTCTCGGTATTCAAACGGACTCGGCGAATAGACGGACGCACTTCTGGATTCTCGTTCCAGCAGTCGAGCAGAAGAGCAACAAGATCGGGATGGATCTGGGTGCGATCATGGATTGTCGGACGGAATGTCTTCGTTCCATCGCGGATGTAATCAAGAACTTCGTTGATATTGGTTCCGTTTGGGAACGGAAGAGCTCGGAACAGGATCTCGTGCATGACCATTCCGAACGAGTAGATGTCTCCCATCTGCCGGCGGGCTTGGGACTGTTTCACCCACGATTGGTCCATCCTTCGCAATCTATTGTCCTCCCTGTTCTTGAGCATTTCGGGCGGCTGATAGAGAATACTCGTCCTCTGCGCCGATCCGCTCTTATCGTCGCCTTCTTTCAGTGTTTCAGTTGATATGTATCCCAACTTCTCCCACCTTTCCAATGGATTCGCAATTCCGTAATCGGTCAGTTTGATCATCCAATTTCTATCGATGAGACATGCCCAAGGAGACAATGAGCCATGATATCCGATGATTGAGGAATGCAAGTACTCGAGTCCCAGTGTAATGTCCCGAATGAATGCTCCGTGGAACTTCGAATCGAGCGCTACTTCCGTGTTGTAAATAATGTCTTGGACTGTTCCTCTCGAGCAGAACTTCCACAGAACAACCATCTCCTCCTTTTCGTTGAAGGACATTCCGAGGAAAGGATTCAGGTTGTCATGTACCGCCTGTTTCATCTGGTTCATCAGCTGCAAGTCCTGTCTGTTGAACTGGATCGGTCTTCTCTGAGGGTACAAATGGAACGATGCGTGCGTGTTCGTTCCGACAACGGCGTGATGCTTCACAAACATACTCATGTTCGACATCTTAGTCTTCGAAGAGCCGATGGAGAGCATCGATTTCATCTCATCCTCCTGAATCACGCGGAAATCGTCCCGATATATTCTCCACGGAGTGTTAGCCAAAGCTCGATTCTCGCAGATCCGCGAGATGAAAAATCCGGAGATTATGAGGAGGATGATGAAGAGGATGATGCAGCCCGCGACGATCAGCGTCGTATAGTCGCATTTCTCGTTTCGGAATCCGCAGAGGGGCTCATCGGGAGGCAAGCTGCCGTCTATGGAAGGCCAGAATCCGGTGGAGAGATCCGAAATGACAAGTTCGTAACAGCCGGAATTGGACTTGAGACCGTCACAATTGGACAGGAGGACTGGCTCCAATTCGCACACTTTTCGAACCGTGTCACTGTTTGGAGGAACGTAGAATGCTGAAAGATGAGATGAATGTAGGCGTGAAAAGTGATGTTACCAGCATAAACAGGAGCTCTCTCGGCGATGTCGTCCATCATGACAGTTCCGGAAGTGACACCGGCGTTGGAAACGAGCCCGGGGAATGTGATCCTTCGCATGTGATTCCAGACGGTCTTTCCATCCAAGTACGCATTTTCGTTGCCAGTTTCATTCATTGTTGCTCTCACAGCCAATGCGTACAAACGGAGAGCATCGTACAAATGAATGTAACCGTATATGTTTTTCTGAATTTCCCTGCTTAAACATTCAGTTCATTCTTAAAACTCCACCAGTTCGAGGTCATCCGTCGTGTACCCATTTGCTTCCAATCGCTCTTTGAATGGAGTAACGAGAGTGTTGTCAAACCCGTTTACGTCATCAATCTGTCACGGTTCGATATTATCTCTTTTCTCTCTTCCTCTCTCCCACTCACAATGAATGCATTTGCAAAGTGATCTTTCACATTCTGCTGGTACTCTCCGTCCTCTCCAAGCCACGGAGCAATGTCTTTGGTCTCTGTTTGGAGCCAGGGAAGGATCCACGCGTATTCAGCATTGTTCATTCCGGACAGAGTGACTGCTTGCATGAACTCCTTGCTCATGTCACGAGTCGACGAGAACGCACAAACAATAACTGAAAGAACAAACTACACTACTCCAGGACTGATCTTCGTCGTACCTCTCGCGCTGTTCGCAAGCTCCTGGAGCAGTCCGCTGTTCATAATCGCCTTCGCATCGGCGTACTCGTCCATCATGATCTTCCGAACAACGTTGACTCCTCGTTGATGGAACACTTCCTCAAACGACTGCACTCTCTCGAATGCCACTGCTCCCGTGTTCGTAGCGATCGCAACCCTGTTCCATCCGTAGTGTTTCACGAGAGCTGCGGCCGCCTCAGCCAATGAGTTTGTGGTTCGGAGAGAGACTCTTGCCAGTGTCTTGAAGACGGTTTTGTCCGCGAAGCTGTTGGAAGAGGCCATGTAGCCGACAATCGGAATGTTCCAGAAGGTGGCCATCTTGGCGACGGCGTCCAGTTCAGCATTACAGTAGGGTCCGATGAAGGCGCGCACTCCCTGCACGTGGTACATGTCTGCTCCGACGGCCACTCCTTCGTACGACTCTCCGCATCCCATTTGGTTTATTATTCTGCCAGTTCACTAATTTTTTTTAAATATAGAAAAGAGCCGTACTCAATGTCAAAGTCATCTCCGAGTATGCCTTCTTGCTTCAGTTGTTCTTTCGAGAGCTGTAGGATCCGTTCTCCGTTTTTCATAGACCCAATCGCTCCAATATGACCCACTTTCACCTATATTAATATTGCAACCTCTTCTACGCGAACTCTGCACTAACCTTGACAGACACACATGCTCCAAATAGAAGGAGGGGAAGAAATAAGGGAACCGCACGCATCCGACGAAGAATTTATCAGAATGAGTGTATTTTGGCAATCAGTGGGAGTGCCGGCTCTTCGTCGGATCATCCCGGCACCTGAATCCCGTCGAATCCCCGTATCAGATCTCGAAAGTTAAGCAGTTCTGAGCCGTTTGAATTACTCAACTACAGTAGGCAATGTGCGTGACAAGATTAGCGAACCGGTCACGGGCGAAACGACCTTGGCTGTCAATTCGGTGCCCGTTTGCGTTCTGGTACGGTCAGGGAAATAGTGAGGGCAAGACGGTTGTTGTTCAGAATGCTTGGACGAAAAGCGAAAGGCGGGGGAGCGACTAGATAAGGAAGCGTTTCGTCGCCTGGCGAGTCACTCATGATGAGCGGTCTCAGAAAAGACGGTAGGTTGACGGATGGCCACCCAGCCAATCTTGTTTTTGTCCTGCAGAACTCATCGCTGTTTACATCGACATCGATGGTGATAAGCGCAAAATGGTCGAAGACATTGCGGACACAGTGCTGAGAAAAGTGCTGGAGGAAGAAGAGAATTCCGTAAGTTCCGCTCGCCCACTCTCTTCATAATTTATTTCTCTCACAGACGCCGATCGAATCTCGCGCTCCCAGCACTACTTCGAGCACTTCTTCGCCTCTTTCCATCAGCCAACTGCTCAGTTCCTCGTTCTCTCAGCCACCAGCCAACATTCCCGCTCCGGTGGCGCTGAACCCGTTCCAGCTGGCACTCTGCCAGACACTTGTTGCAAACAACACTCTCCCTTTTTCGCTTTTCGGCGGTCCCTCGCCAATGTTCCCGCTGTTTGTTCCACCACCACAACCGCCTGTCGAGTCTGTCGAATTGCTAAAAATCTTCCAAAACATTCTGGCAAAGCAGAAAAAGTAATGCGTTTGTTATTCAACGCCTCTTTTTTTGTTTCGTGGTGCTGATCCTCCATTTTTGTCATAATTTTTATCAAGATGTCATGTTGTTGAAAAGAATAAACGATTCTCATCGGAAAATCGCCAGATATTCACGAACGTTTTCTTTTCGCTTTCAAACTATTTATCGGCCGCAGCGCTGCGAATAGAATTTGTCCTCGTGCGCTTCGCAAACGCGCCCCATTGCGAGGGGTCTCGCCACGATTCCTCCATTTTGACGCATGCGCCTTCTACTCTGTTCAAATTTCACTCCTCTTTTCTCACATTTTTTCTTCTGATTTCTTTCTGTTTCAGGCTTAAGAAAATTTTAATATTATACAAAAAACAAATGCTCGACTATTTTTATTCCGATGTCGTTTCCTTATTGGTGGTTTTTCTATTTCCGCTTAAAATTAAATTTTTAGGACAATACTTTCGATTTTTTTCTCATGCTTTCCTCGTTGTCCCCATCTTTTTGATATTTTTGTTTTCTGGCTGAACCACATGACCAACTGGTTTTAATTATGTGTACGTACCTCTCCATATTTCAGCAGATTGAAATCTTATTTTGAAACAATTAATTTTACAGGTAAAATCAAAATGGTTCGAAAGGATAGCGAGAGCAGCTGCTCCAGCGATGACAGTCATTCTGGCGAGGACTACACCTTGGCCAACGATGCCGTCGTTACCAAGTACCAGGTTGCTGCTGAGATCACCAATGCTGTTCTCAAGGTAGCGAACGAGAGTTTGGAACAGGTTATCAATTTTTGCTTTACAGGAGGTGATTGCTAACATCAAGGAAGGAGCTAATGTCGGAGATCTTTGTGATTTTGGAGACAAGCTGATTCTCGAGAAGACCGGTAGACTCTACAAAAAGGAGAAGAAGCTCACCAAGGTTCGGAAAAGGCAGTTGGGGAAAGTCTTCATCGTGATTTCTTCAGGGAATCTCCATGCCAACCTGCATTTCTGTAAACAACTGCATTTGCCACTACACTCCACTCCGATCTGAGCCCCAAGTTACGTTGAAGGCCGGTCAAGTTGTCAAAATTGATCTAGGAGCTCACATTGACGGCTTTATTGCCACCGCCGCCCACACTGTTGTTGTTGGTGCTTCGAAAGAGAACAAAGTCACTGGAAAGGTTGCCGATCTTCTCCGCGGAACGTACGATGCTATGGAGATTGCTATTCGCTCTCTGAGACCAGACACCCTCAATCTTGACATCACCAAGAATATCGACAAGGCTGCTGCTGAATTCGGGCTCACCCCAATTGAGAACATGCTCTCCCATCAGCTCGAAAGAAACGAAATCGACGGAGAAAAGAAAATCATTCAGAACTCTGGAGAGAAGCAAAAGGGAGAGATCGAGAAGGTTCGTTAGACACTTCACACATTTCTTATCAGTCCTCCTCTTTCAGGTCAAAATTGACAAGCACGAGGCTTACGCTATCGACGTTCTTCTCTCAACTGGAAAGGGAAAGCCGAAGGACTTGGACACTCGCACCACTGTCTACAGAAAGAACGAGTCTGTCAGCTATCAGCTCAAGATGAAGGCTTCTCGCGTCTTCTTCGCTGACGTCAACAAACAGGTTTTTTTTGCTAATTGAGCTTTAGTCTACTTTTATATTTGCAGCACGGACCAATGCCATTCTCTCTGCGCAGCTTCGAGGAGGAAGTCAAAGCCAAGATGGGAGTCGTTGAGTGCGAGAAGTACGGACTTCTTGTTCCATACCCAGTATGTTAAATAACGGAGAGCTTCTCATACGATAGTTCACAGGTACTCTACGAGAAGGAAGGAGAGCTTGTTGCTCAGTTCAAGGCTACCGTCCTTGTGATGCCAAACGGCCTTCTCAAGATCACCGGACTCCCCTTCGACAGCGATGTCTATCAATCTGACATTACCGTCAAGGTGAACTCCATTTTAACTTCAGATTTTGAATTTGTTTATTGCAGGACGCGGAACTTCAGACAGTCTTGAAGTCGGCCTTGAAGCCAAAAAAGAAGAAGGAGGCCAAGAAGGACGAACCGGCTGCCGCCAAGAAAGCATAAACTCACTCGTTTCACTTTCCTCCTACTGTTATGGATTTTTCCTTTTATCTCTTACTACTCTCTGCCGTTTGATTGGTATTTCAAATGCCGATGAATTTTCTGTCTTCTATTTTTACAAGATCCGAAACTGGGTTTTGTGCTGGGTAAAAGCCGCAGTTAGGTGGTTATCCACACTGCGCTCACTTATCATTGCTTTTAGTTTCGATCCCTGGTAGACATGAAAATCATTTTGTTGAAAATCTCGATCTTAAACATTTCCAACACTTTTCTATATTTTTCTGTAATCCAATTATTGTTAGATTATACTCGGTTGTTGATATTACCCGTTTCGAGTCCTATTACAGGAATCCGGTTGTTCGTTTGGATGTTCTTCACTCTATCGATAAAACTGTAATCAATTACTGCTCCCTTTCTAATTCCCATTTTGTGTTCAATAAAAACTGAATTAGCGCACACCACAGAGTAGTAATGTCTGCGCGCAAAAGCAATGCCGTAAGACCGGAAGGTGGCGGCGCACAAGATGTTCAATCGAAAAATACAAACAGGCGACTAGACGATGCACAATCAAACTGATTGCAGTTGCCACTATTATGCAATCAGAAGTTGGTGATGTGGCGAAAAACGTGTTAACAAAGAAAAGCTTAAGTGGCAATTTTCACTCGGAAACCAAAAGATGAGAGATCTCTTGAGAGCACATCCTGTAAAACACGAGCAAAGTGCTCATGCTCCGCCCGGACAACTGATAACTCGTTCGCACTTTTCTGCGTCTCTTTCCGGAAAACACTATCATTTCGGACGGTCCCTGGGTATAAAATGGACGCGGAAAAAGTGTGGCCGAAACGTCGAAATGGCTCCTTCCGTCCTGCTCTCCATCCTTCTTTTGGCCGCTTCTTCCCTCGCGCAACCCTTTTTCCTGCCGCCTCCGTCATGCTTCGGACCTTCGTGCGGAAATCCACCGGTCAGTTTTCCCCGTCACAATCCCCCACTCGCTCACCATTTTCAGGTATTCATCGGTCCTCCGTGCGTCGGATTCGCTTGTGGGCCGCCTCCGTGTCTTGATTGCCCTCCGCCACCGGTAAGTAACGGGAGACTGTTTGCCCTTGCTGCTGCCAGACTACTTGGAGACTTGCAACCAGAAAGTGTCCGATTGTTTTCAGATCATCGTGGCCGCTCCTCCTCCGCCGCCTCCGTGCCTTTCCCTTCCGTGCCCACCTCCTCCATGCGTCGGCATCGCTTGTGCTCCCCCGCCGCCTCCGCCAATTCTGATCGCAGCTCCTCCACCACCGCCTCCGTGCGTCGGAATCGCGTGCGCTCCTGCCCCGTGTGTCGGATGTGCTCCACCACCACCGCCGCCGATCATCATCAATGCCCCGTCCCCGTGCTTCGGCCCTTCGTGCCCTCCGCCGTGCTTCGGACCCTCGTGCGCTCCTCCGCCATTCTTCATTCCACCGCCGCCGCCAACTCCGATCCTCTTCGGATCTGTCTCTTGCTGTGCTCCGAACAGTTAGTCTCTCACCCCTTTTTCAATAAAACCCTCCCGTTTTCAGACTATTCCTGCTGCGGATCTCTCTTCCGGAAACGTCTTTTCAGCAAGCGCTCCGAGTCTTCCTCCACCGCTGCCCCAGAGACAAATTAAACACTTCTAGGACATTTTATCGTTGTTTCTATTTAATATAATCACAGAGATTCTATAATTATTTTAATTATTTCTATGAGCTAATTGTTGAAATGAAATTGTTAACTTCACACATTTTTCGCTCACCAACCAGAAACATTTTTTGTTCTTTTAAAGTGTGACTTTTATTTCCGTTGGAATTGCGCTCTTCAACGAAAGTCAGAAGATTTCCTCTATTTGGCAACAAAATGAAGTATTGAAAAAGGCTTTTCGAAGTTTTTATCACTCCGAAAAAGGAAAGCCGCACGGAAAAAGTGACCGTTTTGTTTGGCATTTTGATGTTTCAAGAGGACTCCACACTGCGGATCGGTCGGTGAGAGGAGAGCCGAAAGAGAGAGAGAGAGAGAGAGAGAGAGAGAGAGAGAGAGAGAGAGAGCAAGAGCGAAACAGAGATGTTTTCCGGAAGATTTCAAGTAGAAACTATGAAATCTTTGATATAATTCTGAAAGTGAATATAAGAAGAGTGCAATACAAACAAAAACCTTTTCTTGTTACCACATCGAAAATAATCGAAATTATAAGGCGACTACAGTGTTCCGGAGGAGAAGGCAGTACTCCGGAGTGCCGTTGCTTTCCGGGGAAACAAGATAATTTATATAGTGACAGACACTTGGAGTTGATTGTTTTGTGCCAACAACTCCTGATTTCAAGAGCCTCTGATCGATGGTTCCTTCCGATCCTATCCAGTTTTTCTCCCTCTTCATTCAATTGACTTTTCTTCCTGAAACTGAACTGTTCCCTTCCGGAGATACGCAATTTTGTGACTTGCACAATGGAGTCCGACGCGGAGAGCCTGCAGCGGCGCCGGATGAGTCATCTTCGTTTGCCAAGTCCCGCCCTTTCGGCTGATTAGAAGAACAGGCCGGCATCGAGCAAAAGCGAGTATAAAAGGAGAGCCGCCACGTGCCATTCCATCATTTCCATTCGCCTATTCACTATGCACTCCGCTTCCCTCATCGCTCTTCTCGCTCTCGTCGCCGGAGCTTCTGCTCAATGCTTCGGAGGAGGTTGTGGAGGACCGATCTTTCTTCCACCACCGCCATGCAATGGAGGAGGATGCGGATGCAACGGAGGAGGATGCGGATGCAACAATGGATGCTGTGGAAACAACTGCCCACCGCAGGTGACTGTCGTGCAAGTGCCGAACAACAACGGATGCTCGTGCAACCCGTGCTTCGGATCCGGCTGCGCTCCGATGTGCAACAGCTGCCCACCACCACCAATCTTCCTCGGATCTTCCTCTTGCTGCAACAACAACAGTCAGTTCCTCTCCACTCTCTCCTCATTCCCATCCTTCCCTTTTCCAGACTTCTCCTGCTGCGGATTCCGTCATCGCCGTCATCTGACCGCCGCCGCCGCCGCTGCTTCGAACGAGACCACCGAGGAGGCTACGACTGCTGCCCCAGCCCAGGAATAGACCGTTCATTCGATTCTTCGCCAATTTTTTTGTATATACAGCAAACCGAACCGCAATTTGAATGACAAAGTAATAAATTAGATTAACTTCAATCTATTATCTTCTTTTGAAACTCTTCAATGCCAGAAAAATGGACCCTAGCATGAGAATGTCAGGGTGCATAAACATACAATTCCATTCCCGCTTTTACTTTCTGAGCCAAAGCCGCATACGGCTTCTGGCTTTGATTCACATTTCTGCAAGTGGTTCCCATTTGAAAGAACGTCATTGTTGGAATGACGAAAATGTTGCAGCAGGACGAATAAAAATTGATTAGCAGAAGGAAACATCACATGAATTATGCTATTGTTGCCTCAGAATTTTCTCGATTTCGCTCCATCGCTCTCGACGTGAACTCAGTATTTTATTGAAAAAGGCCCTGGTTGCGGTCGGCTATCACGTGGGATAAGGGCGCCTTTTCGGAACTGCTGTGGCAGTAATGTTGCGATATTATCTTGCCTTTATCAGTATCATCTGATAGGCTCTCTTTTACAGTGATTTTCTTCCGTCAATGTGTTTCCACAACATTCGTGGAGGTCTCATACGTCTTGAGAACGACAATCCTGTTCAATAAAATTCTGAATATACTATTTGAACATCTCTTATCATCTACGGACGTGCAATCCGTGATTTGGAACTGAACTTAGTTTTGTTGTAGCGCGACGCAAATTTGTGACTCGCCCAAGGGCGCGCGCGGAACTCAAGCGGCATTTCTCAGGCGCCGCCTCTTCCGCTGATAAACAGACCTGTCCCAGGTACGGAGCAGTATAAAAGAGAAGTCGACCACGTGTCCCTCATTCTCATCAGTTTATCATGCACTCCGCTTCCCTCATCGCTCTTCTCGCTCTCGTCGCCGGAGCTTCTGCTCAATGCTTCGGAGGAGGCTGTGGAGGACCGATCTTTCTTCCACCACCGCCATGCAATGGAGGAGGATGCGGATGCAACGGAGGAGGATGCGGATGCAACAATGGATGCTGTGGAAACAACTGCCCACCGCAGGTGACTGTCGTGCAAGTGCCGAACAACAACGGATGCTCGTGCAACCCGTGCTTCGGATCCGGCTGCGCTCCGATGTGCAACAGCTGCCCCCCACCACCAATCTTCCTCGGATCTTCCTCTTGCTGCAACAACAACAGTCAGTTCTCCTCCAATCCCTCCCCATTCTCATTCTTCCCTTTCCAGACTTCTCCTGCTGCGGATTCCGTCATCGCCGTCATCTGACCGCCGCCGCCGCCGCTTCGAACGAGACCACCGAGGAGGCTACGACTGCTGCCCCAGCCCAGGAATAGACAATTGGCAACTAGCTATTATTTCATTCCTTTGTTTTTGTATATAACGATCACAGAATCAGCCGTTTAATAAACTATACGTACTGTAACTTTGTGGTTAAGTGCTTCATGAAGATATCTCGGAGGGTCTCTACGAAGATTGCTTGTTGATTTCCAACTCCTCCGTCAGAGTTTGCATCCTTGATGAAACAACAGTTCGTTCAATATTTTCCAGGCTCCTCAGGCAAATCAATTCGAGTAATTAAAAATTCATTAACATAATTGTTACGCTCTCTATGATGACAAATGGACTTGAAAGTGAGCTCGTCCCGTGCAGTATTTTGTGACTTTGAATGGAGTGGCGCAGTTCCGAAGCACACAATGTGTCCGCTCTTTTTGTATATTTTGAAAGTGCGAATAATAAAATAGTTCATTGCAAAATTTATATACAGACATTCGGCTAATCCAGACGAGCAATCACTTCTTCCCGTAAAATGCTCGGCAGCACGAGAAATCTGAAAACGTTTCTATGAAATTGGATTATGAAACAACCATTTCTCACTTGTCACTGTGCAACAAGATCTCTGAACTGGAACCGTGCGGATGATGATCTGAAACTGAATTTATAGAGTTCTGAACTTAAATTGTGGCGTACTGGTGGAGGTGGTGGTGGCGGGAGCAGAAGAATCTGAAACATCAGACCCGTTTTCCCCGAAATCACTCTCTGCGATACCTTTCGAAGGCAGGTTACTGTAGTGCACCTGGGAACGCAAACAGGCCGCAAACAAGGACGGGAGAATATGATCCGAGGACACGAAGGGCCGAAGCATCCGAAAATCGGAGCAGCGAGGAGGAGAATGAGCAGGAGGAATCGGGGGGACATGGGAGGACAAGTGCCCCCGGTCAGAGCCCACTCTCTTTTATAATGCACGCGTGTTTGTGTATAGTTCTGCGTGAATGGTTGTTTTTCGATGGATAAGTGAGTGGACAGACGACTCGTATCAGTAGGTTAGAGCCTGTATTTCCAGTTGTCTCTTGTACAGAAGCAGTAATAACTGCTCCGTCGTTTTCACGTGATGTTTCGTTGGTCAGTCAATTCACAAGATCATATTCTGTTAGCATGCCATCGGAACAACATTTGCCTCTTCGGTTGCGCACAAGAAACAACTGAGCCACAAACTGCGAAAGTGGTGGCAGGTCGGCCGGTCAATGAACTGGCGGAGCAAACACTTCTCGGAGCACTGGAGGAAGGTTCGGAGCACAGCGTCTTTTCGTCATTCTGTGACCAATTTTGTGCGCGTCGTTTGCCGTCCGGATGCCGCGCGGAAACTCGTCGATGAATCATCTCCGGAGATCACAAATCATAGTTCCGCGGGAGCTGACAAAATTGTGTTTTGATATACGTAAGGGAGCTGGCAAAAGGGGAGGGGGCGGAAAATAATCTAGTGATCGGCGCAGAGGAGATCTTTGCAAACAGAAGATCATAAAATGAGTTTGAAAGTGCTTAGAGTACCAAACAAACTTTGAGGGTTCGGCCTACTTCAGTAAAGATTTTGTCAGCAATTAAACTTTGACAGTTCTGGTTGGCAAATGTTCCTTGACCACCTTCAAGCTTAAATTAATGTTATGACTATTTCGCAGCCCGTTTCGTTTTGAGAATGGGATGCATCCACGGTTTGACCCATTCGAAAGTCCCGCTTGGACTTTGGAGTGACAATTCAGCTTATCTCCGAAACGTTTTAGCACGATTTGAGAAGAAAGTGCACAAGGAGCCTTCTTATCGTCGACGGTGCACATTACACGAAATGGCATGCAGCAGACAGGCCGATAACGTCGGTGTTGCGAGAAGAAGGATCGGGAGAAGAGACAGACGGAAAGCAATAGTTCAGAAGACACGAGAACTCTTTCGCGACAGATCGTGTTCAGTCTGCGTGGAAGATTGACAGATTTCCTTGAAAACCATTAATTTTTCAGAAGTCGTCCTTCTCTCCGCTTCCGTTCGTTGTAATACATCTGCGTGACGTGTCGTCCATCAATCATTTGCACTCTTCGTCGCGATTTTAGTTCTCTCACCGCTCCCAAACCCATCTCTTCTCATCCTTTTCACTCGATTTTTGACGAAGAAACAGCCACTGCAACGCCTTTCTTTGCGTCTCCTCCTCCCGCCCACTGTCTCTCGCAGGCTGCCCGACCTAAGTCTGCGTCTCCTCGCCCCACTGCCTCTCTCATAGGCCCGCCACAATCAATAGGCCTCGCTGGCCAGGCCTTTCATTCTTTCTCCCACTCGTCTCCTCGTCTTCCGACGCTCCTTTTCCACGCGTTTTTCATAGAAGATGTGGCCCCCGAACGTCGACGATACGTGCAACTATAGGTTTGTTTGTTTCTTCGCCACAATAGCAAAGTTTTTTGTTGCAGCTTCACGGAGCACGCGGCGCTCAACCCGCACGATCATTACCACCACCATCACCACTTTCCGCACTCGACCATCCATCACACCGAATGCTTCCAAACGCTTTCCTGTCCTTCGGATCTGCCCGTCGAGTCCTCCTACTACCATCCGATGCCGCCGACTTTCCAAGGTATCCTTTGATTTCTTTTTGATCTCTTTTCACATTTGTTTGTTTTTCTTCTCACAAACCAAAGTTTCTCTCAACTTTCTTGTTTTCAGATCTCGATCAATCCGATTTGAGCCCTCAATATTGGTGCGCTGAAGTGGATTGTGCTCATGAAACATGTGCTACGAAAGAGATTCCGGTCGAGCAGTCGAAGATCTTCGATGAGATTTCCAAAGAATGTGACCACTTCCTCGTTCCTTCCGAGTGCGAGAAATGCAAAATCCAGTAAGTTTCCCTCGCAATTGTCTCGCACCAATGGAATCGTTCGCAGACACGACGATGGTACTCACGAAACGGTGCCGATGGACACTCTCATCGACATTGTCATGCAAACCGTCGAGCAGAACACGAAGCTGAACGAGTCGTCTAACGGTAAGTAAGGTGCGAACACGTGACAATCAAAAACCAAGTGTGTTCAGAAGAAACGAAGATGCTGTCTCGTAAACGCGAACAGAACAAGGTGGCAGCGGCACGTTACCGTGATAAACAAAAGGCCAAATGGCAAGATCTGCTGAACATGCGATCGACCGAAGAGAAGAGGAACGCAAGATTAAAACAGCAAGCAAAGGAACTGCAGAAGGAGGTCGACGACCTGCGAGCGAAGTTTATGGCGAAGGCGATGCAGAAATGATCTGAAGAGATCGGATACCAGTACTTGTATATCAGTTCAATCTTGTCCATCAGAATTCCATTGTCTCTATCAGTGTCCGTTTTTTCTTAATCCGATGACGTTTAAATAAATGTTAATCTACTTTCAAAGTGATTATTTCAAATCGGGGGAAGGGCAGGAAGAGTGTCAACTGGTTTATCAGTCCGATAACATCAATGTCGAACGCGTTGAGAAAAATTGTTTTTTGTAATTCTGCAGACAGTGATTTGATAAAAAAAGGTGATCGACGCGGTGTCATTAAGAAATCTAAGACTAGGAAATAGGCCGACGAACTGAAAGGTTTCTTCTTCGTTCTCTCAGAAACTTATAGTGTAGACTCCAAGCGCAATGCTCAAGGAAACCACTTCTCTGACTGCGCCCACTTCCGCTGATTAGCACAACTGGAATATCTGAGGGACTACAAAAGAGAGCTGTGAATGGGATTTCTCATCAATCCAATCAGTTCGTTCCCACCCGTCATGCACTCCGTCTCCATCCTTGCCCCCTTCTTCCTCATCATCGGAGCTTCTGCTCAGTGTTTCGGAGGAGGCTGTGGCTGTTTTGGAAACAACTGAGGACCGCGATCAACAACGGATGCTGATGCAATTCGTGCTACGAAAACGGATGCACTGTGCAACTACTGCTCCAAGTACTACCAATACTCTTCCTGCTGCAACAACAACGGTCAGTTATCCATCAGTTATTCATCCCCTCACTTCCAGTCTCAGAGTTCTCCTGCTGTGGATTCCGTTACCGTCGTCACGCTGCTCTCGCTGCTGCTGCTGCTGCTTCTGAGATCTCAAACTAGATACTTTCAACAGTGTGTAACTAATTTTTGTATATTCGTCAGGAAAAGCTCGTTCGAAATTAAAGGTTTCGTACCATTCGGTGACTCAGTCCCTTTTTCTACACATTTCATCCGCTCGATCAGAGACTCTTGTTCAAACTGCTACCACCCGGACCCTGTTTGCACAGCTTTCTCCCTCACATCCAACACCATTTTATTATCCTTTCATTCCTCGAATTTTCGTTACTTTTCCATGCTTCCCGGTCTATTCGTTTTCCTCTCTCTGACTGGGTTGGCCGTGTGCCAGAGCACCACGTCGGGAACTGGTTCTTACTGTAAGACCCAGTCCAGAAGCGGTGAGTTTCCGTTTAGGCACGACAAATACTTCTTTGTCTCTGTCCAGAATGCTTCTTGGGAACATGCCCCTCTGGTTTCGAGTGCATCGGAAACGAGTGCTGCTCGGAAGCCGATGTCGTCCAGCCGGGAGGCGATTGCACCGACTATCTGTCCGACTGCTCCAACGTCGACTGCAATGCCATCGGAATGCAAGACTTCGCGAGAGCCAACTGCGCAAGAACGTGCAACCTGTGCTACAGCACTGCTTCCGTCAGCCCTCGTGAGCGATTCCTTCGTAGTTCCCCTCTTGATTACCACTTCAGAATACGCATGCACCGACCTGCTCACTGACTGCGCCAATCGTACTTCCTCCTGCCAAGACATTGACTTTGTCGACATGATGGCTCTCTATTGTCCCCGAACTTGCTCCCTCTGTCTCTGGTCAGCCGCCACCAAGATTTCCAACTGTGGAAATCAGCTGCCCGAGTAACCTCACCTCTCCTTTTCCGTTTTCCTACTACTTTATTTTGCAGCTGCTCGACACGTGGCAACTACTGCTCCGCCACCAGCATTTCGGCCTATCAGAAGCGTGTCGGATGTGGCAACTACTGTGGTTTGTGCACGACCGCGGCGACAACTGCTCAGTCGCAGGTGCTCCCGTCGACAAACAGCAACGGATTCCTCTTTTTCGGCAGAAAGTGAGCACAAAATGAATGAAATATTATTGTGAAGCGAAGCGTTTATTGGCATTTTGGAATCAACTCATATAGATCAGAAGAGAAACCCGTGTGGGAGATGACTGGCAACGGGGAACAAAAATAGTGGTGAAGAAAGAACAAATAAAGATAGAAACAGAAATCAGACCATTTCGGGGTAGATGTTCTTCGAGTTCAGTGGTGTTTTCTCGGCGTGCAGAGGATGCGGAAGGCCTAGTCGCGGAGCACACGGCTTCTTGATCGACGCATTTAGAACAGAGGATCCGTGGGCAGAGAGAGTCGCCTTCGCATTTCGTTTTTCTTCCTTTTTCAGAAGACGCAGACGGAGGCGCTTCTCAATCCATCTGCAAACATCAAACATTCACTTGAAAACTGAACCCTGTTTCATGTAAGACTGACCGTTTCTTTCCAAAGTACGCCAGGGAGTTGGTGGCCGTATTGAGAACGATTCCAAAGTCGGAGACCCTGACCATGATGCTCATCACAGTTCCCCATCCTTCGATCCCGTACAGATTCTCGTAGACGTCGAAGAAGATTGGCATTGTTCTGACAATCAATAATTAGTTGATAGAATATGTGCTCAGGAAAAAGGCGCCTTTTTTCCTGAGTGTCTGACTCACCGGAATATGAGGAACTTGACTGCGATGAAGACGGCAACGGTCCTCGAGACCCTTTCCTTTAGCTCTTCGCTCAGAACAACCGACCGGCTTCTCTGTTGACTTTCGAACAGCCTGAATGAGCTGTCTTTTGTGATATTTCTATTCCGAACACTCACTTTCTCCTTGCTTTCAAACTGACATGAACCTTGTACTCTGTGAGGATCGAAAGAATGAGAATGATCGAGACGGGCCCGATGGTCTGCGTCAGAGTCATCAAAACTGCTTTGTACTTGGCAAACTGAAATTATTCCGTTCATTCCACTCATTGTTGTCATTTATAAATACCGATGATCTGAAGACCGTCGCTTCTGGATTCGTAGACTCCACGTTGTGCTCCACATCGAAGCATTTCACGGTCGTGAACTCGAAAAAGATGGGAATATTGACCGAGAAGCTGAGCAGAATGAAGATGACTGAAAACATGCAATTATAGTCTCTGACGTCTTCTATGCACTTACAAGGTGTGAAAAAAGGCCGGACGATCTCGCGTATGTTGTAGTGTCTTTTGATCGATGAGTTGTTGAAAGTGCTCCGCGAGAAGTTGGTGTTGGTGACCGAGTCTTCCATTTGGGTGGATCCCTTCCGAATGGCCTTGCTGCCAGTTCTCCGATGATTCGTGGAGATGTTGGTGGCAAATCGGAGAGGTCGGAGGACGACCATGAAGCGGAGAAATGTGATGTAAATGACGAGAACCGTCTGGAAGGTCGGATTGGAGGGGATCATGGAAGGGGGGAGGACGGACCGAGGCGGTGGTCAGCGAGCTCGCGATTCCGTGCAAATTATAGGTGAAATCTTGTTTGTCGTACATGATGTTTGTTCTGAAGAACAACAAAGACATCGCCTCGATTCCGTAGAAGAGGAAGACAGTGAGCAGAAGGAGCGAATCGATGGCACAAAGGGCGAACAGAGCTGAAAAAGAGCACAAGTGATTGGAAAGTTAGAATGCGGAAATCGTCGGTTGCGAAGTGACTCACTTCCTTCTAAAATGTTTCTCACCTGCTGTCAAATCTTTATTTAACCCTGCTCGGCAGAGAAACTTGATTGCATATCGGGCTCCGACCATCGAGAGCAACGCGGCGACGCACGTACACGGACCCTGCAAACCCGAAACTCGCTTTAACTCTCGTAATACGTACTCACATCGATCCAGAGTGCGTAGGCAGAGATGGTGTCCTTTTCGGGTGGGTACGGATACCGGTAGCTGCAGTTGAGAAGCCCTCCTTCGTAGTCGGTCTCCATTATTTCCCTGAAAGCGCTTGACATGATACGAGTTGGGAGAGTTGGGGGAAGGAGTGATTCGCGGTGAGTATGTTTGGGGCGCCCGCATTAATCACTGGGTCGAAGGGCGTAATTTGGAGCATGCGCACTGGGCTCGCGGAGCTCCACGTAGCACTCGTGATGATGAAAAGGTTAAGAATGGGAATGGAAAGGGGAGAAGAAGAAGAAGAAGAAGAAGGAGAAGGAAGGAAAGTGGGGACAGGTGATCTGAAATGTCATCAGAGGAAGAGGAGTTCTAGCCAGAGTCAGAGTGTGTACATGCAAAAGCGTAATGAAAATTTCCATTGGAGCGAAGAGGGGAAACCCTTGAAACTGCGGTCTGACGTGGGATCGAAAAGTCAGCACGACGAGAATAGAATCGAATTGAGAAAAGTGAGCGTGGCCGAATCGTCGATTTCTTTAAATTGGAAAACCGAAAGAACACTAGGTTTCTGCGCGCAGTTTTCAATGAATATCATACGCGAACTGACAAATCATATTGAACAACGGACTGCTGAAAACGACGGAAAAGCGGGTGCAAAACAGAACGAAACGAGCAGCAAAACAGAGAGGATTCGAGGAAGTATACTTTGCTCATTGTGCATCTAGGAAGACGTTTTGCTTTTTTCATTAATCTCTTCAGAGAATGGTTGAGCTTTGCGGGCGGCGCCACAGAGGCTAAGTGATTTATTCATTTTTAGTTTCTAAATGAAATATAACGCTCTGGTTGGCCGGGAAAAGTATTTGAGTGTTTGCCGGCACAAATGTTGCACGAGCAGGTGTGTTTTTGACTTTTTCGGAAGGAAATCCACGTCATTCAATAACGCCATACATCGGTTCGACTCTTATGAATTTTGTTTCCGGAGACTAGGCCAGATTATTAGGGATGCGAACAAAGTTACGTGTGGCAGAGCCAAAGAGAAAAATGGAAGAAGATCAATGCCAGATGTCCAGTACATGTGGTGCTGTGATGGTTCTCAGAAGGAATTGAAGTGATTCAGAAAGTTAACCAAAGGTCGAAAAAGAGAGTAAACAAGGTCGGAACAGGAAATTAAACGCGGAGAGAAAGGAGTTTGAAAAGAGTGAGATGTCAGAAAAGGACCCAGCCGGCCAAATTAGTGATGCACCGATGAAAAAGCTCCCGAAATTCAGAGAACACGCTGAAAAAGTTTTTCAGCGAGAACTTCCATTGCCTCTGGAAGCGACGGACTGTGCGGGTGGCTCAGACATTCGCTGAATAGGTTATGATGATATCCTCGATGAATAATTAGTTTGCGACTAGACTTCGAGGGGACGATCGCTACGAAATCGGTAGTCGGGGCAACGGGAATGTACGGTGACGTTAGGACTCAAATGACAGGTTTGGAAGGGAAAGAGAGAGCAATTAGAAGGAGACGTTGGGGTTTACATGGAAGCAGAGAAAGAAGAAACTTTGATCAAAACTCATGGTGGAGGGGAGGGGCTGACGAAGATCTGCTCAAATGCAAATAAAGCTCATAGCTATGGGAACGGCTGAAAGAGAGACAAAAGAAGGTATTTGGAAGGAGCAGAAAACAAGACGCGAGGAAGAGTTCACGATGATCTCTCGCAGAGTCTGAGAGCATCCGGAAATGCGAATTGCAGACATCATTTGAATAATTGCATCTTCCCCACGTCTTCTTCTCGATGATCTTTCCGCATATCAAACAATACATCAAGAGTAAGAAAAGCGTGAATAATTCAGAAGGAATCAGACTAGAATCTCGGAGCCCATCGCCTCTTCATATGTCCTTTTCAAAAGGTACCGGATTTCAAGACGCATGAGCGAAACGGAAAAAGAGAGCAAAAAAGGAAGAGGGACACACGGAGTAGGTCAGATTTCGGGGAAACTGCGTGTATACTTGCTCATTGCCGATGCGAATGACGGAGAAGGGAAGGTCCGTGCTGCCAGAATCGTAAACATCCTTGAATTACTGAAAACTTTCCACCCGCGTTCTCTCGCTCGACTCAATTCAATTTCGGTCTGGGAGCGACGACGTGCGCACGCACAGAAGCCCAAAAAAGACGGAAATTGAGCGGTCCTTCCTCTAAAAAGGACACAACGTTTGGTTTGGTTTCCAATGAAACATCGGAGATAGACTTGCAATCTTGGAAGAAACCAAAAATCTGTGAAAGATGGAGTGACAGGCGGATCTCATAAACTTAATGCGCACGGAATATTGAAATGTATGTACTTCCTTCCGCCTGACGTGCAAACGAGACCTCTGTGGAAGATGAAAGATGGGAACTCGAAGGAAAAGAAAAAGGGAAAGAAGAAGATGAGAAGGGCTTATTGTCTGTGCAAAGAACAAGATAATTGAGAAAGTCGTGTTTCTTGGAAAGGACTTCCGAACCGACGGCACCGAGGACGAATTTTGAAATTAATGTGAAAGAGAACACGAAGAATACGGAAATGGATGCATGGACGATCCCTGATTCGCTTGCTTATCATCGCAAGCGAATCGGAGCGGAACGCCCTGCTAATGGGCACACTTCCTCCTGCAGTACACTCTTTCAAGGTATATTCGAGACAGAAAAGGGATCACAACGACAGAAGTATTCCGCATCTTTGAATGATGACGAGAAGTCGTGAGAAGACGTTCAAGTGGTTTTGAAAGGATAAATATGATCTCTGAAAGTGAGAGATGAACTTTTGTGATGGGGATCAGTGTGAAACAGTCGGGAAGCCATAATCATAGACTGGTTCTCTGGTGTTCAATTCCAAGTACTTCTCGAAAAAGGAACTCCTTGGTGCCAGACATTTCACGTTTTTCCTTTTTGAAAAAAAGCTACATCCGGGGAAAACAATATTCGCTGAAATTCCTCCCTGGGGTCGAATTGTAGGCTTCTCAACATTTCGCGAATACTAAGTGTTCTGTTTTCCGGAAATAGACGAACGGGCGGTGCTTCCTGCTGTCTACAGTGAAAATTGAAAAACACGTGGCAACTGGATACTGGTGAGAAGAACTCTCTTTCGAAAAGTCATCGAAAGCGGAAGCGCGGCCGGAAACTCTGGCGCTCTCGTGATTCCAGGAGCCTTCTGCTGCCGCTTCTAATTCGATATTCAGAAATGAGTAACGGGGAAAGAGAGAGAGAGAAAGCGAATCAAGTGCAAACAACTCGAAAAAGAGATGATGCATTTCAGAGTCGTGGTCTTCATTCGACAAAAGTTAGCTTTTCAAAAAAAAACACGAAAACTGACTCATTTGGGCGGCGAAGTATTCAATTAAAATTTCTGGTCCACGCAGGCAGACACAAATAGGGAAGGAGGATGGATGATGACGGGGTGGAAACGACATGACATGGTGCATATTTCTTGATCAAGCTCATTAAGGTCGGGTCGACGAGGGGGGCCTTTCTGATTAGGCAAATCGGGGCGAGTGGGAGGGGGAATCCCGTCAACTCGAGAACTTCGAACTTACCTATAAACGCATTCGATTGTGCTGCAGCGATTGAAGAGATTCTCGACCTGAAAGCAGAAATAACTTGAAAACGTGTCGATAAGTGCGGAGACAACTGCTGTTTGTTTTCAGAGTGAGATAAAAGAAATCACCTGGACAAGAAGGTTCTCTCTCTCTCTCTCTCTCTCTATTTCTCTTCTTGTCGAGGACTCTTTCTGTTTGTTTTCGGTGCCGTGGGCGCTTTTGCCAGTTTCAGAAAGAAACACAAATTGGGGCACTCGGCCCGGGAACCGAGGTGGAGCCACTCGACAGGAATTCGAATGTTTTGACATATTGTGGGCGAGGAAAACACAGCAAAAAGGAACGGGAATTTTGAAGAAGGACTCCGTGTGAATCACTTCTGAAAGGAGACGTTCTCTCCACAATTCATGTCTGATTGACAGTGAGGAATGAGACATTCTCTGGTCAATTCTCACGATGGTTTGTGGTCTTTTGAGTAAGAACATCCTCTGAAACTCATTCTTGAGCTTTTTGGCAGATTATGCCAAATTCTCAACAACAAAAAAATGTTTCAAAAGAAGACAAAGAAAGCACATCATATGCGGCATATGATTCCTTCTGGGACATGAACGGAAGAAACCGTTTCCGGAGTCTGTGACGCAAAAGAGAGAGAGAGAGAGAGAGAGAGAGAGAGAGAGAGACATGTCAAGAGAACTGGGGATCTTATGTAGATGAGGTGGGTCAGCAGACTTCTATTGCCATATAATTTTGCCAGTTTGAAAGGAAAACATAAACACAACAAGAGAGAACAGTGAACGAGAGTCTATTTTTCGACAGGGCGCATGTGACACTGTCATCTCCTTCTCTCTTTTTCGTATTATAAAAAGTGAGAAGACTGAGGACGAACGCACTGACATTGCCAGTCTTTTCACGAACTATCGTAACCTGCACTTTTGGCACTGTTGCAATGTTCCGTTCGGGCCCAAACTTCGCAGGCTTCTTGTACTTGGATTGAGGTATTGTGGGTCCATGTTTCAGACCGACCAGATAATTTACTCGGATCTTCGGGAATAATGCGGCCTTTCGGCCTCGAAGCAATCCGGACCTGGTTCTGAGACTTGGACCCAAAATTTCTCACATCCAAGTTCAAGAAGCCTGCAACGTTACGGTCCGATCGGGATACTGCAACCGGGTCAAAAGTCCTTCGAAAAGACTGGGACGGCATTTTTACTCAGCCCTAAGTAAAGTCAGATGCGACGGTGTAATCAGAGTGTTATGGTTTGAAAGGTGTCAAGTTTCAACCTCTTAACAGCTTTGTAATGCCCGCTTTTACAGCTCTTTTTGATAAGAACTGTTTGCTGTGTTGCTTCAAAACAAGCTCACCTCTGACGTCGTCATTCCCCTTTTTTGAACTGCCGCCGTGATGGCTTTTCCTATTGAGAAGCGGTCCCGCATTGCCTGAAAGTAAGTGATTAATGAAGGAAAATAAAAAATTGAGATAATCGAATAAAGGGGCGAAACGATGGGCGATGAATGGAAAAACGAGCAACGGGGGGAAACATT